TTAGATAAGTACAACTTATCAATATGACCTTTAAAATATACACATTTAGACAAAATAATACTTACTCAAATAATCGGGATCTATTAAATACATAATAACAAATGAAATTAAATAAAACAAAACATGATACTATTCATGCGTAAGACACTGTGTGTTATCAGTGAATCATACACTCCAGCGACGCATCGCAACTTAGCTAACATCCAAATACAGCGTACATAACGGTACGCCACTCTGTGTGGCCGTGTAGGTTGTTATAATAGAAACCTAGTTTTCCTACGTATAGCGAACATAGCGTGCGTAAAAAAAATAGGTTTCTACAACAGCAACGTAAACGGCCACACAGAATGGCGTATGCGGTACGCTATGCACGCTATGTTTTGGATGATAACTACGTCGGAACGCGTCGCCGGAGTGTGACTCTCGGCTATATTTTTGAGCGACGCGTGACTTGCTGTTACATACAAGACAGACAATCGTTCATAGGCAACCAAGCAAGTTCTGGACAAATTTGACGGAGCCAACTATAAGTACAAACTATATGAAGCCACCAGGCGCGGCGTTTAGGAGGGGGGAGGGCCATAGGAGCATGGTCCCCTAGACATCAAACTACCTATAAATAATAATTTCTTTCAGAAATCTGTATAGAAGTTCAGAGTGTTAATAAATTATAATCATGGCCTCTGCAGTTGGTCAGGGGTTGCATTGATTAACTGACGTCTGGTCATGTTAGTTAGTATAATTTTTGGACCAAAAGGATATTTCCCCCCTTAGAAGACCACTTAGAAATCCGCCACTGAAAGCCACACACTAATACACTATTCCTGCTTGATTTTCACGTAAGCGAATTAATATATGATGAAATTCACCAAATTTGTTTCGTCCCATGTTCAGTTCATGAATCCTTAACTGTCATTACGGGATAGCGAGGATTAGCAACTACTATCCCAACATTTTTATTGGGGTTGCACATTAATAGCTGCGTTATTCTATGAGTAAGTTTTAAAAAATTATAATTTTCTTGCTTTTTTCAATAATATAATCACACTAATGTAATAATTATAGCATCTATACTTTAGTAATTATAGTATTGAATTTGAACGTACATGTAGATCAATCAACTAAAATATCTATTTGATATTAATCCATCTAATTCTAATAAACGATTGACTAGGGCCTATTGATGATCTGCAGGCTAATGAAGTGAGGGGCCCACCTCTGAATTCAAAATATTATTCAAGATGCCTGCTACCCCATGACTTTACTTCAAATGATGCCTATGCATGAACCCATTTCCTTGGCTGTTTATTGTTATTGTGTAACGCAAGTAATGATAAAGCCTCGTCGTCACTGTCGTCACTCTCAAGAAGTAATTTACACGAGAACATCTTAAATGCAACTGATACTATTATGTTGTTTTGTTTGTTTACATAGCATACATAGCTAGGCCACAGGTTATAGCGAACATAGCGTGCGCAACATACTTAGCGTAACTTTCTGTGTTGCCGCAGCTGTATGGTCTGATTTAATAACGATTAGAAATAGGCAGGTACATTATGTACTATTACTGCTTCAGCGCCAGTGATTACACAAATACCAAAACGTATACTACGTAAATACTAGTTATTACTTACTATAATGAGTGAGGTAAAACTGTTTAAAATCCATTTTTTTTTCATCTAAATATTTAAAATATTCATCTATAAAATATATTTAAAGAACGCTAAACAAGCATCCATACATCTTTATTCTAATCAATTATATCATATAAAAAAAATTTACATATGCATATAATCATTATACATATTATAGACATTTTTTTTTTTTATCATAAAACCATCAGTAAAGGATTATCTACGAAGATTTAATTTGCAAAAAACAAATAAATTTGGTTTAGATTAATATCTACTCGATAAAATATCAAAATAAACATAAAAAATATAAATAAAAATAACAAAATACTCGTATATCGGTATTGAAAACCGTATTTTTAGTAATACGATTGAAAATGCTAGATTGCAGAATGCTAAATTCATTTATATATTATCGTTTATATATATACGGGGTGATTTTTTTTTATCGTGAACCAGCAATTATCTCAGAAGATTTTAAGTGAATTTTATTTCTGTTTTTCCTAATCATTATAGAATCGTTTGAGCTTTATTTTAAAACCATTTTTTATTTTTTATTCCTATCGCATATACCTTAAATAAGTACATACTTTTGATTTTCAAATAGGAGCCCTTCCTTTTGAACACAGTTTTAAATAGAGAATATTTTTCTAGAAATTTTGATATCTATATATACTTGGGAAGGGTTATAGAATGGCAATTTATTACCCTTCCTTACTTCTCCGGCCTAAATTTTAAACTGTTTATAACTCAAAAACGGTAAATCTGATATTAGTAATGTTATGTATATCAAAATTTCTAGAAAAATATTCTTTATTCAAATCTGTGTTCAAAAAGAGGGATTTTTATTTGAAAATCATAATTATGTACTTATTTAAAGTATATGGTATATGAATAAAAAATTGAAAATGATTTTAAAACAAAACTTAAACGATTCTATAATGATCAGAAAAAACAGAAATCAAATTCAATTAAAATCCTCAGCGATAATTGCTGGTTATATAAAAACCGTTTTTATCGTTTAATTGAGCATGATATTTGGTACTAGTTTCTAATTTCTAGTTTTACATAAAACTGTAAATATATAATAATAGTATTTTGGGCCATTTTTGGATAAAAGTCGAAACGTTATTTAACGCATACATCGCGACATGGAATTATGACTGATATCGTAATGTTATTACGTTATTTTAACAATATATATTATTCGGTTGGAAAAAGAAGATATATAAAATGACTTGTATGAGACTGATATAAAGATTTACCTATTATAACTGTGTCTAAGCCAAAAAGCAATCATTCGATCAAAAAACGTACAACATGCTGAATCGTTTGATAGCTAAATAAATTATCGTACGAGTTTTTTGGGTTTTTTGTGAATTTCAACTTTCAAGCGTACTCAATATTATTTCGATAGCCAGTTACATTGTCATTTTTATTTAATCATTTATTATTATTTTGTTTTCACTTTATTCATAATTAATATATTCATTGGCGGCTCGTGGCTTGGACGAAAGGACGATCGCACCCTGTGTAAAATTGAAATAAAGGACAACTTACAATTTTATTTTAAAATTATCAAAATTGTATTGATCAGTTGATTATCTTCATTGAAATTAGAAAATTATACAAAAATACAATTTCACTATTAATTTTGACGTCTCGTGTGTGACGCGCGTATAATTTCATGGAATTATCGAGATCCAATACGCTGATACGCGAAAATACGATTCCCGGGGCAATGAACCTTTTTAAAAGATATACGGTAATTGGGTAACTATAATTTTACATTGCTCGCCCACGAGCCACCACTGTGTATATTTTAATATTTGATTTGTGTTTTTTTTCAGATAATTATGTGCAGTGGTTGACAATCCATACTTTCTCCTATTGGTCTTGATTTATAGTTCTCAAAGGTTTCACCGTGTTTTGACAGCTCTAAAAATATTAAATGGCAAAATTATAAAATCTTAATTAAATAGTTTCGGTTAAATTTTCAAATTTGAACGGTACTTAAGTTTTAGATTCTAAGTGGAGCGAAGGAGCTTATGATTTTACAAAGATGATAATTTTTTTTTTTTTATGGACAACTTTTCTACCAGAGATCTTACTCCGAGTTTTAAGTATACCACCTTTTCTGAAAAGAAATCGGTATGAGGAGGTACTTGAAGGAGGCAATTTTTCTATTTTCTCATGAGTTTTCTCATCAAATGTGAAAAACCGAAAAAAAATGTATAAAATGTTTTAGTAAAATATTATATTTTTCTTTTTCTGTGAAAAACTTTTCTACCAGCAATTTTCCTCCGATTTACAGTAATACCAATTTTTCTAAAAGAAAATCTGACTGGGGAGGTATTTTAAAAAGATCATTTTTCTCAACAAATGGGGAAAACCGGGGAAAACGTACGAAAAACGAGAAAATCAGTACATTAAACAAATATTATTAAAGAAAATAGAAAATATCTATTTAATTATTTTACCATAATATGACGTATTTGACAAAGCATCACTATCAACTGAACCCCGCTCAGAATCGTTTTTTCGTTAGCAATGATTTATCATTGCTCACAGGTATACATTAAATTATCTATAACAGTAGCTGCACCCATCCTTATTACCAAGTGTGACAAAAAATAACATAATTATAAAATGGTAAAGCAGCTTATTTCTTAAATTTTTTAGAAAATAAATTCTGAAAAAAATTAATATTTTTCGAGATAATGATCGTGTAACCATGTAAATGAATCACCTGGTATATCTAGACATCGTTTATTTTTCTCTACACTTCAAGCACTGTCAGTGCACACGTGGTGGTTAAATAATTTTCTCATGAGAGGGTGGGGAGCAGGATGAATCTTTTTAAACATTGTTTTTCAAAAATTGTATTATTTACATTATTTATTTTTTATGAATAAATAAGTAATATTACATATATGATTATACAAATTGAATAGGAAGTGACACTGGGAGGGATATATCTTACTGTTAGACCGCCCCTGATGTAGACTGTAATAATATTTTTAGATATCTAATAATTTTCTAATTTAATTGACATTATTATTAATAATTATGTAGCAACGTATTTATATCTTATTGTAATTTAATAAGTACAAGTTAAATGCTGTATAAGTCAACTTACGAAAATGTGTTATACCAACTGCATTGATCTGGAAATCTCTAATGGAAATAATAAAAATAATAACTATTCCGCTATGAAAAAAAAAACTAAACATTTTGTAATTAAAAGTATCTTTCACAAAATATACCTAGTGTACAACAAATTCTTCTGTTGTATTATGATAGAATATAGAAATTGTGTAATTTACATGCCAACATAAAATGTTTTCATATTTATTAAGAAAATAAGCACCTGAATAAATGACTTAATATATTGCTTAACAACATATGAGCGTCAATAATAAATAAAAACACATTTTACAATCTAAATCCTTGAAATTAATATAATCAATTGATCAATTTTTATCTAATATACATTAGGAATCAGTGTTGAGAAAGAATCCGTCCCAAAAGAAACGGATTCCTGGAACGAATTCTTTTTGTAGGAACAAAGCTAGTTGCTTTCTTTAAAAATAAAAAAACAAGGAAAATGAACGAATTCTTTTTGTTTGAGAAACGTGAACGAAAATAACAGTTCCTGAAAAATTTTAAAAATATATTTTAGTGTAGTTTTCTTTGTTATAAATAAGAAGTTATTTTTAGTTATTTTTAGTTGGTTTACGTTGACTATTGACAACGGAACAACCGTGACCCCAGCCTACATCGTAGGCTATTTAAATTAATCGGTCGACTTTAAATACTGTTATTATGACATGAATATATATATATATATATTAAATAATAAATTCTATGGTGCCAATTTGATATTATTGTCGTTTCTTGCTAATTGTTACACGCTAAGGGTTTTAGATTTTCAAGTATTAAAATTACAATTTCTTAAATAACTTAAGGTTTTATTTTTTACGTACTCCTCGTGTTCTTTATTAATAAATTAAATTGTCTTTCTTTCTTCTTTTGATATCGGCTTATTTATTCCTTTGAAAACGGTTTATAATTCGGTAACTATTTCTGCCTGATTTTCCATAAGGATATTTATAACAAGAAATATCGGTGGATGAACACTGTTAAACTGTACGTTGTATGTACAATCGAAATTTTCGGCGTCGTTAGTAATTCTGAAAATGTATGACGTACAAGTAAACAATGTTTTTTTTATTTTTAACGCCTTCATTAGTAAATATTTACCCAGGGTTTTAAGACGGCGGCACAGCCCATAAAATAAATGGAAATAAGCAACCACATTCAATGTACGTCCCTAAAACAAAGTCTGAAAATATGTGTCCGTCTTTTATATTTGGACACCTACTTATAAGTTCTACAAAAGCATCCTCAACGTCAGCAAGAGCGGTGAAAGGAAGTCCGAAAAATGATTTGAGCCATTTATGTAGAACGTTATTTTGATAACGTGCTATTCTTAATTTTGTATCGCTATTCATCTGAAACTTGATTTTTATAGAATTATTTTTATAATAAACATTTTCATATGACTCAACTTACTTTGTGCCACCAAGTTTGTCCCAAGTGAAAACGGCAGGCTTCAATTCGAGTAGTCAAAACTTCTTTCACTGCTTAAATTACACCAATTTCAAAATTAAGATGTAGGATTTCAACTTGTAAAACTAGTAATTGCTGTTCGCACATATTAACTAAATACTTCCATACACCAATGTATGTGTTTTTAAATTTATTTAAAAAAAAAATAAACACTAAAGATACGTAAAAACCATTTTATGATCACGAATAGTACCGTGTATTGTGTATACAGTATAGTTTATATTATTTTACAACGTCGTATAGAAATAAAAATAATGTAGTGGACGCAATCGTATGCCTAAAAAAGTATCACCAATAAGAACTGCGTGCAATCGTACTCCACCAAGGAACGGGTGCGGCCAATGTTATAGGTGGATAGTTGAGAAGGAAAGATACATTAAGTTACCTACTTAATTTATACCAGTAAAAACGATAAATCATTATTGCTAATTAAAATGGCTAAAATTTCACCGCGTCTAGAAAAAACAAATATGACTTTTTTATCATAGTTTCAGGTCTCTACCGATATTTTTAACTGAATTATATTAAAACAACAAAATTAAAAATAATTTCAGAATTATTTTCGTAATTTTATCCGTAATTTCTACATATTTTTCGGTTTTGATCAATTATTAAAAAATCTACAAGAAACATCAAAAAAGTTATTAATAAACTAGAAACAAAATAAACATCACTGTAAAACCAATGCATAATTCGTCGCTCCGCTCAGAATCTAAAATACGAACGTTTTTCAACTCAAATATTCAAATTTAATTTGAAATAAATTTAAAAATAGTCTTAAATCATTATTACAAAAATATTCATTACATAATCATAAAATAAACTAACAATTTTACGAAAAACCCATTTTCCACAGAACAACTTTACTCCTTGTGACGATTTTTTTAAATATTTTGTTTAGTTACCTATTTGAAAAAATACAATTTAAAATTGTTTTAAATCTCATTTCAATAATAATTATTTCTTAAAATTATTTAAAAAACGAAAATTGAATAAGTATTTCAATTATAACAATAATAGTGTAGATACTCACTGCAAAATTTGTGTCTGTTTTCAAAACTATTGTCGTACAACGCGTTAAGTTCGGAATGAGTCGTTTTCGACCAAAAATGCTCTAATATAAAAGCTTAAGGCCCCTTAATACTATTTAAGCTAAATTTAAATAATTGTGTTCAGCGTAACTGAAGTTTTACGAAAAAAAAAACAATACGGCAGTAGCAGACTAGGTACAATAATTATTATTATTATACAAGTGTTAGCTGGGTTTCGCGAGGATGGAATATGGATGATGACTACATAGGTAATATTATACTATGAATCATCATAAACGTAAAAAATAAACACCTAATGAAGCAGTATGATGTATTTAAGGGAGGGGCCAATAGGGGCGATTGTTCTCAGCCATTAATCAATGTATTTGTGTAAGCATTTGCTTAATAATTATTAATTATTAATAATTATTTAGACAAAATTACAACATTTTTTTTTAATCACTCATTCTCTTACTCGAATAATTTATTTCTCTTAAATTATTTCATTATTTCTTCCATAATATGATACAAATTTCATGTACAATATGATATTATTTTAATTTGTAAAAAAAAATTATCTGTATTACGTACAATATATTTGATTTTGACTCTCAAAGCACACCTAGAATTTTTTTTTCTGGGCAGTTTTTTTTAAAGACAAATTAATTTGACCAAAATACTTAGATATTGAAACAAGATAAAAGGATATTGGACATTTCAGCATTATAAAGGACGTTTTTATAAAACACAGTGCCTCGATATTTTCCAAGCCGGTCCAGAATCTTAGGACAAGGGTGGATCTTATATGTGTTCACGGAAAAAGCACTTAAGTTAGACAAATGTCTACTACACTGAGTAATTTTTAAATGACATCATGGGTACATAAGAAATTAATAAAATATAACTATAATACAATTATTAAAAAGAGGGGCATACTTCGCACGTGGGTGCAGTCACTGTTGTAAATAGGAAGTTGGGAAGTTGGGAAGGTCGGATATAAATTTAATTTATATCTGTAGGCAACGACAAACCATTGCTAACTCCTGAGAAAATCAAAAAATAACCTCCTTAAAGTACCTCCCTGGTCAGATTACTTTTCATAAAAAGTGCTACACTTGTATGTCGGAACAATATTCCTGATAGAAAAGTAATTCATAGATAAAAAAAAAAAAACATCGTTGTAAAACCAATACATTCCTCGCTCCGCTCAGAATTTAAAAGCATACTGTAAAAAGTATTAACAATTATGTACATTATTTTTCTTTTCCTTCTCCATCATCTTAACTATTTGAGGTTGACCATCCTCGTTCTAAACATCCACTTAATCCGATCTCCCACCTCTCGCATACACCGGCTGTCCTCGTAGCATTCTCAATCGTATCCAACCACCTTTTTTCATTGTTCCTCTCCACCTCTTTCGTCCTATGTTTATTTTCGTTACAATTCTTACTGCTTTAAAAATGCAATTAGTATATAATTATTTAACTCTACAAATCTACTTCGATTATGAATAAAATATTTTTATTTAGTTCGTCATGATAAATTATAATATATTATACATTGTATGTAATATTTACAATAAATAAATACGAATAGAATTTTTTTTTTTTTTGCGAAAGAAGGGGGGAGGCACTTGCCCCCAGTGCTCTTTCCTTGAATCCACCTTTGCTTAACGAAACGATTCCTATAACCAACCTGATTTTTTTACATTTGGTTCCCCAACTTACAAAAACGTCCGTATTGACATATTGTAAATATACGGATTGCTTAAATTCTACTAAAGTTAATCTCCTCGGTTGAAAAATTAATTCCAATTCGTAAAGGTTTAGGTAATTATAGGTACAGATGAATAATATTGTTAATTTCAGTTCGAACGTTTTGGGTATATTTAAAAATTATAATTAAATGAAAACTGTCAATAATAAACATTGAAATTTGCAACATTTAAAAATATATATATTAGGTAGGTAAATGATTTGCATGCAGACACAAAACTATAATTTGTATATATTATTTAGACTACCTATTAAATGGAAATTATGTAAAATACTCTTGGTAAAAGTAAAAATGGAACAATAACTCAGACAATATAGTTATGACAAACACGTGTTTTATTGATTTTGTTTTATATTAGGAGATGACTCCACACTGAAAGTATCATATAAATACTTAATGAAGGGGGACAAAAATTAGTTTGTTTTAAAAAAAATATTCTATATTCTATGGTTAGGTACTTTCCTATCGAGATGAGACTAGTATTCGTATTATGTACAACTTTGGCGTTTATTCAGGTAATAAATTATAAATAAAATTGTTTGTAAATTACAGACACTTTTCAAATATCTAATCGAATAAATTATAATACAATCTGTTCGATTATTATTTAAGAGGACACCACACCGACGTCTACTGTCTCCGTCTTACAAACGTGAGACATAGCAAATTTGAGTTCAGTAGGATATATTTTGTGCCGTTAGTTTTATTATTAAAGCAAATTAACTTAGTACCAAACTTAAAGGTAAGAAGAATAAACATGCCCTAGCGTTGATGTTTATTCGATATTTTTATTTTTAAATGAGACATGAGTATGTTAAACATTACAATTCAAAAATGATTATATCTTGCTTAAAAATTAAAATATCGAAAAAAGCTTCAACGCTTAAACTTTACCTTTAAGTTTGGTAATAAGTTAATTTACTTTAATGATAAAACTAACAGCACAAAATATATCCTACTGAACTCAAATTTGCTATGTCTCACGTTTGTAAGACGGAGACAGTAGACGTCGGTGTGGCGTCCTCTTAATATAATATAACTATATATTATTAACCTTAAACAACTATATCATGGATATTGCGCTGTTTTATTTAATTTAAATAAAAAACATTATATTATTGTTTTGGTACGTAAGCAATTATAATAATTGTTATCTATATATACAGTATAGCAGTGAACGTTTATTGTCAAGTAGGTAAACAACTATATACAATATATAGGTTGATTCAAAATGTGTGTTACGGCTATTTTATCATGTACACATTTAAAATAGAGAGAAATGTATGATACAAAAGTTTTTCGCTTTAAAAACATCTAAAATAATATGTACATTTTTTTTACCGTTATTTTTTTTGGGGGGAGGGGTCAACTTTTTAAATTCAAATGAGAATCTATATTGAAAATTCCATAAATAGACGGAATGTTAACTTAAATAAATGTTGGTATTGAAATTTTTGATTGCCGTCAACCCATTGAAGAGATATTTCATTTTTTTTAGATAGGGAGAGAGTAGTGGAACACTATAATATATGCGCTTGTGTGGTGACAGCATGGCACTCGGCGCGTGGCGTTTGAATAATGTTTCACTACTCTCCCCCTACCTAAAATAAAAAGTAAGTTCTCATTTGAATTTCAAAAGTTGACCCCCGATCTTCCTCCCCCCCTTCCCAAAAAAAAAAAATAGTAAACAAAATGTACAAATTATTTTAGATTTGTGTGAATCAAACAATTTGTGTATCATACATTTATCTCTATTTTAAATATTTTACATGATAGAATAGCTGTAACATAAATTTTGAATCACCCTGTATGTAATATATATACATAGACAGCTGTGAGGCTGAGCATTTGTATGAATGCATTAAAAGTTAAAGTTAAGTTAATATTTAAAAGTTATATCAACAAATTACTCAATACAAGATTAATTTTTAAGACGTATTTTGTGTAGGCAGGTGAGTTGTTAATAAGTAAGTACTGTTCAAATTAATTTTGCATATTTTAAGTAAAATAAATTTGGGTTGAAGGTAAATTTCCATAATTCTATATAATATTACTTATTTGATAAATCTCCTCTAATTTTAGTACAAATCTGAGTAATATTTTCATTTCACTTTATGAAAGTAATAGGTATATCGTATAGTCTACATTTTTCTCTTAATCTCTTACAAAGCTTTAAGCTTAAAAAAACCATCTGTAGGTAGAATGTAATCTAAAAATAATTGAGCGTAATGTATTAGGAGTTTTTAGGTTTTATACGCGTTTAAAGTTCAAATGTTGACGAAAATCTTAAAAAGCACGGTATTCTAAAACACGTTTAACCAAACTTTGTTTAAAATCGCATTTCGTTATCATTGATTTACCGTTGCGTACAGATATAAATTAAATAACTTTTATATCCTATTTACCCGATTTCCCAGCTTCAATAATAGCACACCCATTAGCAATATCAACCCGATTTTTTTTTTATCTTTTGATTTTGGGCCACGAAGACGAAGCATATAGTCGTACCGCAAAAAGGTTCGGAGACCCTTGTTTTCACTTCTTCTATTAAGATATTTTGATTGCTAACAAAAATATAAAATTTTATTTTTAACTATTTTAATATTAACTTAATTATATGTTTAGGAATTAACTAATGAAATTAAAAATAAAAGATTGACATACTTCGCACGTGGGTGGGCCACTATTGTAATTGAGAAGTTGGGAAGGTAATAGAGGGGTCAATTAAGTGTATATCTGTACCTAATTTTTAACGAAAAATGATTCTGAGCAGAGTTCAACTAATAATGTTGCTTTGTCAACAATATATATGTCATATTACAGTGAAATAATCACCAATGCATTATATATTTTCTTTAATAATATTTGTTTAATATTGTATTTATTTTCCCTTTTTTCCCGGTTTTTCCCATTTATAACGCTTTTGATCATTGATTTAATAAAGAGATACAAATTTGAAAGAAATTAATTTTAAAAAAAAATTGTTTTGTTACGCCTTCCTCCTCCCCCACCCCCCTATTTAACCCTACGGATTTTTCAGCCTATTGGTTAATCAAGTAAACTAATAATCATATAAACCAGATTCAGCTTGGCGGTATAAGTTGTTTTTCGACAGTGATAAATTACTCAACCATTGATTTTTAAATGAATACATTATTGTATTATAATGTCCCTAAAGAAATTTTAAAAACAAATATGTATTCACAGAAATAAATTTAAAATATTATTAAGAACATAAATAAATATGTTTTAGATTTTTGGCGTTTCTATCGCGCAAAGTCAAACAAAGGTAAGTATATTAAATCTCAAACTGATGTTTATGAAAGATCTTCTCAATTATTACTCACTGCACTAAAAAATGATATAATTACTCTGACATCCCTAACACAAACAAGCAACTAAAACTGACGAACCATCATAATGTTATAATTGTTCGTCAGTCTTTAGTCTGTAAAAATGAAAAGGAGAATGTTTAGTATTGCTTGTAAACGTTCAGGCCCAACTATAGTAGTTACTTATAAAAACCACTAGGGTCTAAGACCCAACTCAAATGCAGCCAAAAGTAATTGTAAACTTACCCAGTCGTTGTTATAGTTATAGCTGGTACCTTAGTACCTACTCGTATTAGTTGCATTAATATTACACCGTTCTGTTAACACCATCATTATCGTCATAGGAGCCCCTAATAAGCCCTAAGTTTATCATCTAATCTAGTCATTTTTAAATACCTTATTCAAAATATTTACAGTATATATGTATGTAATAGTTAAAACTCGTAATGAGTCGATATAACTTTTTTCCAATACCTGTTTGCTACCTATACATAGTGTCCTACAATGTTATCCGAATGCTAATAACTCTGTCAGTATTCAATTTTTACCTGTTAGTACCTGTTAGCCGTTTAATATCTAGAAAAATGTATAAAAAACGAGACTATCATGTTACGCTACAGCTTATCATAGTCCTAACTCCTAATACAAGATAATAAAACTGTCAAACGATTTGTCGACTATAACTAAGAAAATATTAATCGTTTATGAATATTGACAGAATTATTAACATTCGGATAACACTAAAGAACACCTTTCAAATTAATTTAAACAATCAGTTTGTTACAATAAAAATATATTTATAATTTCAACAATAACTAGTGTTGTTAATAATTAACATACTTAATTTGTTATTACTACCCAAGATATTTCTCTGAGTGTGTATGAAACTGATGCCTTTAACAACTTACTTTCCTTACTTTAGAACTATATCTATGATGAATTTTTAATTCGAAACCAGTCGTATAATACACTTATCATAATATTCCAGGTGACGCTTTCATTCATTTTTTATTTTTTATTTATATATATTTATTTAAGAGGATTAACCATTTTAATAATTTTGTTTTTACTTTATTATTTTATAGAACAATATCGTCTACGTAGGCCAATATTTCTTTTATGTAATCACCCAATCGTATTCCGTTATCTTCAATATGGTTCTCCATAATAATATTTTCTAAAGTTATGCTAAATAGTGTGGGTAACAAAGCATCTCCTTGTCTCAAACAAGTCGTTGCTGTCCATTTGGTGATTTTCACGTGCCTTTACCTATGTATCTTCTTGTGTAAGAACATAGTGCTTTTAATCCTTAGATTTATTCCTGTGGCCAAATCTATAAATCTGCAGCCATTATCATTTGATAAATAGTTCAGTTTCCAGACTATGATCTTCAATTATTAGCATTCTTCTCGAAAAATGTTAGCATTACAATACCCTAAAATATTCTATACACAACCCCTGGGTGTCTTACACAGTGAATTATCTTACAAAAAATATAATTCATCTTCTTCATCTTCATCCTTGTCCTCTGTAGGACATATAGAAGCATATATATTTACGAAAGCTCTTTTCACCCATTTCGTACTTAATGTTAAAATTATTATCCAAAGGATGATCACTTTAAAACTCATTACCGCTGTAAAGTATTGTTCACTACAAAACCGATGCCTTTTTGTCTTTTTCCGTCACAAGCACCAAAAAATAGCAGTGTGTTATTCATTTGCGTTAAGCCAGTGTCTTGCCCCCTCATTTTCTGTAGTGCCACTATCCCTAGTTTGTATATTTCTATATTTTTTACTACTGTCCCTACTACTCCTGATTTAAATAAAACGCATGTTCCAAAATTTAGTAGATTTTTCAATTTTCCAATCTAAAGTCCAATGATCCATAATTCCGAGGCAATTTTATGTTTGGTTCCTGAATAATGATTTTTTACAGGATAAATTATAAGCCTATCGCCAACTCCATTATACCTATACATGGAGATGGATAGCTTGGGACCCCAAGTTTGGAACACCCGTATTACTTGATTGCCCTGAGGACTGTGTTTTTACTCAAATCATAATAATAATCAATTTGTTTAACATCTAGGGAAGTGAAAATTCTAATACACAAACAAAACTCAAACAAGTTCGTGAGACACAATCAATTAAAAAACCACAAACATCGCCAAATTCAAAATTACCATCGTTGCCAAAGGACAATAAACAGAATATACAAAATCCAACAAGAAAAACCACAGTACCATCCAATGAACAACAGAAACCGAAGACTCTTGCAAGACCTCAGGGTTCACCAAATCCCGAACCAGCGGTTCCTAGAATCACAGCTAGAGGATTGGATAGTAAGAAAAAAAAACAATCAGATGTTAATGAACAAGAAATCATATTATCAGAAGAGGAAATCAAGGATAACGACAATTCGCAGGAGTTAGAATTGCCACCAGAAAATACCATACAATCGGGCAAAGTTTTGGCAAAAACTGTTAAAAGACAAGCGAACAAAGGAGGAAGCGGGTTTATAAACAATTTAACTAGATTTGTGAATTCGACCTGTAATACATTCGGATTTTTAATAGGCATCATAAGGAAACAATCGTCAAATACAAATACCGTGGTTAGATATGCTAGTGATGTACTTTCAAGAAGTGGTAGTTCCGCGTCTAATGGAGTAATAGGTGCCCTAAAAAGGACTCAAAAGATCGGCAGAGAGGGTTCAAAACAATTTTCTAAATTACTGAACAATGCTGAGGAATTTGGTGTAAACTTAACAAAATTAGGAGGAACTGCTGCAAGCTCAACAGTTGGAATAGGAACTAAAGTAGCTAAAGTGGGTAACAATGTGTTATTAAAATCAAATAAATCAATGGATAGAGCATTAAATAGTATAACACCAAAATTACCCGAAGATGAAGATGAAAATGAAACAAATTCTCAAGAATAAAACCCAAAAGTATAGCAATCAACAGAAGTAAAAACTGAAAAGTACCAATGAAGGATAAAAAAAAAATGAAAAACCAACAACTTCAAAAAAAAATTTATATTAATTTATGTACAAAATCAATGTAATAATATAGTTTGTGAATGTTACAGAGATTATTAATGTTATGTAATTTAACCTTGTTTCACTCTATCATTACAATAAGCAGGTAGGCTAATTTTAGTAGCCATTATACAATAAACCAATCCATCCACAAAAAAAAAATAAATATAAATATACAATACACACCTTTAATAAAGATTATTAAAGATGATTAAGATTTAAGATAATTTTTAATTCGAAACCGGTCGTACAATACACATTTTATAATACCCCAGGCGACACATTCATTTATTTATATATTTATTTACGAGTATTAACCATTTAATAATTTTGTTTTTACTTTATTATTTTATTAAAGATATATTTTCCAAAAATACAAATTTTTAATGACAACTATATTTTTTTGTAGTTAACCATATTCACAGGATAATAATAATAAAGAAATAATTTTCATCAAAATTACAAATAAATATTGTAACCAGTTCAAATTGAAATTTTATTGGAAAACTAAAACACGCACGAAACAAATAAAATATTGTTATCTATATTTCTCTGTAGTTACATAATTTACAGAATCATCTATTTAATTTTAATTGAAAAATTGTCAAACACTAAAAATATATGAGTACCTATTATAATATTTTATGATACATAATCATTAAGTAAAAAATTAAAAAATTAAATATAAATAAATAAGAGGCTAAAAACTATAATTTATTGTAAGTGCAAGTACATTAGAAAATAACTATAAATCCTTGTTTAATTTTGGTGATTTTCTATCAACACTCTTCATAATATTTTATAGTGAAAATATAACAAAAAATAATATTCAACCACTAACTAGCGTGATCGCAATGATAGTCTTGCTTTATCCATTATATCTTTTTTCAATTTAACTTGTTCAGGACTTAAAGGGTTTAAATCAAAACATATCTCAATCGATTTAGTAAATTGTTTCAATTTATACAAGTTTACAGCTAATTTATATCCAATTTTAAAATCCTTTTGTCCACATAATGCCCATGCTCTTTCGTAATAGTCCACAGCATCATCTAAATGTATTTAAAATGTCTTGTGATATTGTGCTAGTAAACTTTAAATATTAAATTACCATATTTTTGTTCTTTCTCCGCTGATGCACTTAACAGTTCAAAACCTTTGATTGAAGACTTATTATAAACAAGAACTTTATTAACTAATTCAATACACACGCTGATCTTGCCAGATTGAAAGTATAATTCTGCCATTAGTAGCCAACTGCGTTCCAAGTATTCAGCTTCTTCAAATTGCCAAGTAGCCTTCAGAGCAACTCTCTTTAAAATTGTTTTTGCCCTTTGCAATTGTTTTTGATAAACAAAAGCTAATGCCATTCCTAGAGAAGCAGCAATTCTAAAAGTTCAAAATATTTCATGAAGTACTATTTTCAAAATAAAAGATTTCTTAGGCATTATAACATTTTTACTTGTACGAGTCCTGTGATAATTCATTAAACATATAAATCGCTTTTTCTACTGATTGTTTTTCTTTAGACTCTAATAGCACGTATGTGGATAATAATTTATAATTTTTCTGTTCTTCTGGAGTATTCGGTTTCATCTCCTAGTAACAAATATAACTAATTATACAAACTAATCAAAATTGTATAAAATAGTAAGGTTTATTTATACCATCAACAGCTTATTTGCCAGAGTCAAATTTAAAGTAGATTCATCCAAACAAATCTGAACCATGTTATGTAATGCTTGCTGTCCCCACTCAGCATCATTTTTAGCCATATTGAAATGGTGCATGGCATCGTTGATGTTTAACTTATACCAGTAATACAGACCACAGCAGTAATGAAATCCGGCTTGAGAAATATATTTATGCACAGCTGCTATTGATGTCTTTACCTCTTCCAAACAATCTGTTCTACGGCAAACTTCAACAAGTCGAGCTAAAGCTGCCCAATTAGTAGGTTGCTTTTCTAATAGTTTATAAAAATGTTTTTTGGCTGTAACAAAATCGCATCGTCTAAATGATAAATCAGCCACTATAAGCAATGCTAAATCATTGTTTGTATCTTTAAGCAGCGAAGAACATATCAGTTCACAGGAATTCCAATCATTCATCTAAAAATAAAAAAAATTTAATTTCTTTACCAATAAACAATAACATAATGTTGAACATATTATATAAAAAATTCTAAACATGAGTAAAATTATTAAATAAATTATTTTTCCATTTTCATCTAAAAAAAATCAACATATTTAAATATCAAATAATACCTTTTATTAATTTGCACTCACTTGCATGAACAATTTGGCTAAACTAATCTTTAATGAGCTTGCATCTTCACTGTCAGCAACTACATGCACAAGTGCTTGTTTGTACAAAGAAACAGCAAGATCATTTTGATTTAACCTATGAGCTATTTCACCACTACGTCTTAATATACTTAATCTGGTACTTAATTCTTGGTTTTCTAAATAAGAACACTGTTTTAATAAATCAAGTGCTTCATCTAATTTGCCTTTTTTTTCTAAAGCCTATAAATAAAAAAAAATGTATCATTTATTTAAACTATATTTTACCCAATCTTCATTTATCAACTATATTTCAAAAACTGTTTCTCATATATATTTAATAATTATTAAATCTAACATAAATTTATATATGAAATATTTTAATTATAATACACTAATAGATCAATAACATATCTAATAATAAAATAATTTTAGTAGGTAGTTTTAAATTTTAATTAAGATTATTTGATAATAAATTACAAAAAACAAACATTTGCCATAGGAATAACTTTAGCTTCTAATGGAAGTGGATTTAAAACTTTAATTGCCATATCACACTGATTCAATTTGATCAAAAGATTAGCCATCTCCAAAGCACCATCTTTCCCTATTAAATCATTAACACAAATACTATAAATTTACCATCAAGAATTATTGATTGTATTCACTATTCAAGTGTATTTACTTACCAGATTTATTATAATATTTAATAGCTTCTTCATACCGATGGGTCGCAACTAATACTTGAGCAACTTTTATAAACAGTAATGGTTCATTTTTTAAACTCAGTGCATTTTTTATTACTTTTATAGCTTCATCAGGTTCCTAAATATCAACATTATATTATTATTTTGTTTTCAAAAAATTCAAAAGATAAAGGAATAGTTTTCATAAACATATAAAAAAAGCAAGTTTGTCTAGTTCTAAGTTATCATATTCTTATACAGTTTAACATTTAAAATAATAAAAACATACAAATTATTTTACTAAAAACAAAGTTCTGATGCAATTCAAAATTGATTAAAGTGTTTGCACATATATTATATAACCTGAATTTTTAAATACGCATTTGCTAGTTCAATCATATTCTCAGCAGTAGGAAATGAATCAACTAAAGTTTTGTAACAATTTGTATATTCATATGGATCTTGGTTAGTTCTCATGTATAAATCAGCTTTCATTTGTTGAGCCTAAAAATAATTTTATTTGATTATTGAAAATTATTATTTTGGTAATATTTATATATTTGTATTAGTTGGTCAAAAGAATGGCTAGTTTATACTGAAATAGGTTTAATGACCTAACAATTCTATACATAAATTTTATTTTTTAAATTTTGGATTTTTACAATGATATAAAAATAAATATGAATTTAAGGATTTCAGCACATAAAATATATCTTCCCTAATTATTATAATAATATATTATACACTACATTTAAATATGATTTTAAAACTCACTTTAATAAAGATGTCTTTATCAGGTTTTATTGAATTTAATATTTTTAATGCACTTTTAATATCGTTTTTATGCAAGTTAATATTTGCTTCAGCTAATATAATTTCTCCTTCATACTTTGTATCTTTCAAATATTCATAAGCATTATTTAAAATTTGTATGGCTTCACTGATTTTATCGACTATACAGTAACATTCACTTAATGTTATAAATAAAGAAGCAAGATCACTGGGTTCAAGTGCATGTTCACCTAAAACATCTATTAATATTTATTACCAATATAGTATGTATGTTTATAATCCAATAATTTACTTGACAAATGATTTAAAGAATTTTCCAAAGCTCTTATACATTCATCATTCTTCTTGTAATGTTTATGTAAAAGTCCATTCAGTAAATTATACAAAGGCCACTCACTAATAGCTAAGTTATAACTAAGACCCAGATCTAAACTCTTAGATGCATTTCCAAAATCTCCCTGCAAATGAACAATATAATAATAATACATAATAAATGATACATCAAACAAATTTAGAAAATTATTTAGTTTAGACTATATAATAATTAGGTACCCAGTATTTAGGTTTCTTTAGGAAGAAAATTAAGAAGCTATAAAAATGCTAAAGAATAATAAAGCAGCTGGACCACTGGGCAGACAGAAAAAAATTACCTTAATGATCTATAGAAACTAAAGAAAAATTTAGGTACCTGTTTTATCAAAATCTTAGCCATCATGAGATGTGCTTCAGAATTTGTAGGATCTAGTTCTAATACTTTATCTAATGATCGTTGAGCTTTTTTAATATTTTGGGTTTTACCAAGCATCAACCAACCATCAATAAATCCTGGACAAATATTCAAAATTTGTTCCAAGGTGATTTCCTTAAAATTATTATCTGACAAATGTCTTAAAAAAAGCAATGTCATGTTTGGATTGAGTTTGATTAAGTACTCTGGACCAAATAAAAAGTTTGTAACAGAATTAAATTGTTGTTCAACTGCTAATTTTATTAAATCCAATTTAGAATTATTGTTTTTTGTAATAAATGCATTTATGAATATAAGCTCACTAGATTTCAATTCTCCTCTAATTTCGTTTAGTAAATTAATTTGTTCTTCAACCTGAAAATAATGTTAATTTATTCATGAAAGTATTGATTTGATGTTTACTATAATAATTTGAACAAATTTAAAATGCACATACCTGAACACTTATTTTATTCATAGCAATCCAACACAAAATTATGCCCTCTATGGCTTTGGGAACGGGTTCTGAATCACTTGTTATATCATTATAAAGTTGAATTGCTTCCTTATATAGTCCAGCCAAATATGTTTGATATGCTAGTTCCAATTTATTATTGATACTTGGTTCCAAATCAACAGCTATTTGCATAGCACGAATACATTCATTGATAATTTTTTTATGTTGACAAGTTCGTACTATAGCTGAAGACCATTGGACAAATACATGTGGGCATGGTTCAGAGTACTCAATAGTTTTAAAAAATTGATCCGGTATTTCTTCATATTTTCCAACAATAGCTATGTTATATAAAACTTTTGCCTGAAAAAATATTAAGCTATTTAAATAATTACTAAAACAATTATTTTTGCTCACCATTAAAGCTAATATAGAATCCTTTTTTATAGCTAATATACGATCAACAATTTCAAGAACTTCAGACCAATTACGAACACTCATGTATAGATTTAATTTTTCATGAAAGGCTGGTAGGAAATCTGGTAGTTTAACAATGAGTTGATTTAATATTTTAGTGGCCTCAACTAATTCTGAAGTCGCAGCTTCACCAAGATATCCTGCGATGGAATCACTTTTCTAAAATCAATATTTATTTCTTTCATTCAATATAATCCTAAAAATATTAAAAATAAATTTCACTTAAAGGATTTGAAAAACAAATTCACCTGTGACAAAACCGCTTTGAAACAATTTTTAGCATTTTTAAGTTTGTTTTCTTTAAGTTCTAACCAACCTTTGATTAAATATCCATCGACTGAACTTGGATATTCAGATAAAAGCTGATTAGAATAATGTTTAGCTTTTTCGATACAATTACAAAGAATTAAAACATTCGCAGCGTGATAAAGTACAACTTCTGAGTGACTATAGTCATTGATTGAATGCTCTAACATGTTAATTGTGCTGGTATCTGGAACCTAGTGATAAAAAAAAATTGTTTAACCAAGTTTTATAATTTTAATGCAAAATTATTATTTATTTAAATACCTCAAATTTGTTATGAGCATAGATCATAATTAATGTAGATGCTAACCCAGTGTCGGTACTTTTTACTAAAGCATCAAGTATAATCAGCCCTTTGGATAATTTATTTTGAAGTACATACGAAAGCCCATAATAGAGTTTGTAAACCGAACTATTGTCATTTAATTTAATGACTTCTGCAGCTACTAATTCTGCACTATGGTAATATTTTTTTCTAAGGTAGTACTGTATAAGTTCATAATCCATTTTTTTATTTTCCTAGTATTGATTTAACTATTTTTGGGGTGAGGTAAATTTTTAAAGTAATTATTTTAATGTTTCCATAAATATAATTATATAATTTACATTTAATGTTTCATAAAATATAGGGATATTTTAAACATCTAATTCTCTGGTTCTTCATATATTATATAATATTCAAATGGATTTTTATCAGTAGTAACTCCTCAATAATATTGTTAATTCTGGCCTAGAATATTTTGTTTTACATTTGATCAGGAATGGACAGTATACAGCTGTATTAATGTTATGTTTTATTACATAATCAAATACTTCCTGAAAAAAAAAATATCAATTTTCATATACATTCCTCGTGAAAATATTAAAATATATATATATTTAAATATTAACTGCAATTAAACATTTTATTCTCTATATTTTATATTAAACTAGTTGTCCCAGTGTAGATTGTGACTATTTTTTTATTTTTTTACCTACAATTCTTTTTTGTTTTAACCCTGTCAGAGTATTGAATGAAAACAAATTATTGGAAAGTGGGAAGTCCAACTTCAGCAGACTAAAGATGTTCTGTTTTGACATTTTTTTCATGATTTTCATATCAAAAATATCTTAACATCAAATTTTTGAGAGGAGAAAATGGATTTCAAGGGATCTAAAGCCTAACCTAACCTATCAGGGAATGAGGATGATCGCCAGTGGAAGAGAGTGTGTACCGTAATATAATTTTCGCTCACAAATGATACTGAGTTCCTTTTATACCTTAAATATGCGTATTTACTGACAATTTGTATAATTATAAAATTAATAACTCGATTGTAAATCTATATACATAAAATTAATCAATATTTTATTGGTAACACCATAACTTGAATACTATCTAAATTTCCATATTTTCTGGTAGATTTTCAAAAAAATGTCTTTCGTACACTTTAATTTTTATTTATCATCAATTTGCTGTTGTTATAGAAACATGTGACATGTTTAGCACAATTGAACTTCAATTATCAAATTATTTTTATTGATTTTCATTCTACCTTGGTGATACAAATGAAATTTTAAAAAAAAGTATTTAGATTTTCATGGAAAAAAGCCATCCAAATGTATGTCTTTTCCAACAATTTTCTTTCATAAATCCTTGTCCTGACAATTACTAACACAACCAAAAAAAAAAAACAGCCAAATTGATCCATCTGTTTTCAAGTTAAGGTGTCAGCAATAAAATATCAATTTATTTTTGTATTATACATTAATTAAAAATATTATGAACTTTATTCTCTATGGTTACTTAAATATAATGTATCTTTTTAAACAAACTATAAATTTTTTGGTATTCTATTTTTGTAAAAAATATTAGGACAAATATTTAGACTTATGAATGTTACTAGTAAATTGAATTAGTATTTGAATAAATTAATAATATCATTGAAAACATATTTATGTTGTATACCATAAGTAATTATATTTTCTTACTCAAATAAAATAAAATAATTATCACCTATAAATATATACATATTAAGATCATTTTAGAAATTAAAACATTAAAGTACAACATATTTGTAATGTTTCTGAGGTAAATAATGTTAAATGCAACTACAGATATTGACATTGACAGAGAAGTTAATAATCAAATCAATATTTTTTTTATTTAATTACCTAAATAAATGTTTTAATTAGGTTTTTAAATAAAATTTAAAAAATAATAGATATATTTTATTAAACAATTTTTAGACTTTGGAACTTAAACCCAAACACTACAGAATTTATTTTTTTTTTTTAACTATATCACTCACATAATAGGTATGTTTATTGTACCAACTAAACTGTACCTTTATAATTATTAAAATAAAAACTACAAAAAAAATATAATTTACTGACGAACGTATAGGTAACATTAATAACATTAAACTAATTCGCCTTACCTTTGGCATTATTAATTTCATAAAAAAAAACACCTTATTCTTTGGGTCGTGCACAAGACCATTTTTCAACACATAATGAATATTTTTGATAAAAAGACACTTCATGATATTTTATCCTATGCTAGATAATGCTATGTGCAAATAAATTAAGCAGTGTATGTAGTGCTATAAGCTTATAAACAGTTAAAAAGCCGGTAAACTTTGTAATAGTGATTTTTGATTTACCAATATACATCATTGGATAAAACGAAAAATAATACAATGTTACCTTTTTTTAATCGTTGTACAAATACCTAAATATTATTATTTCAAATTAACACACATGCAAATAGAAGATCGAGTTTTTGAAACAAATAATACGTTTTAGTTCAAATTGTACGCTTCTAAGATCATCGTTGTAGGTTTGATACATAGATTAACAATAACAGTGATAATATGTGATATCATACAAATAAGAACATAGATAATAAAAGAATAAGAATCCGTGCCATATCATTATTTTTTGATAAAAAGTTTAAAAAGATGACGAAAAAGAATACTCCATTGCCCATTCTCCATTAACTATTGTACTTCTTAAAGGTCTAATGATGGAAACAATCGAATAATTTTGCGTTTTGGCAATCGAAATATTTAATTATAGCTACTGACATAATTAGCAAATCAAATTAATTGAATCCATAGATCTTATACTATGTCAAAGGTATATGATTGAATCATTCGAATTGCATGATAAAAATGTATCAAAAATTATAAACTGTAGATACCTAATTAGTAATTGCCATTATTTAACTAATAAAAATAATCGTTTAATTTTCACTAGGTACCTATGAATAAGATGAATACAGAATAAAATAAGTAGTACAATACATAACTGAAGAACAACGCATTTTTCAGAAATTTGTAAAAAATATTCCCACACTATTGCAATACCTTTTATAAATTGCCATTACAAAAATGAAACTTAAAAAGTTAAAATAGGTATCTATCTACTTAATTAGTCCGTAACTTGAGTACCTGCCAGTTGCGTACCCAGGAGTTATCAATAGGAGGAGATTTAGTAAATAAGAATCATGAATAAATCATAAATTCGTCTTTTCTACCCAAATTGACGGTGGGAATTGTTAATTTAAAAGCCGGATCCTAAAAAAGACCAATTTCTAATCAATGTCCAGTTTTTTTCTCGTAACTCGGCTGAAATATATGCATTTCGACCACGAATTAAGATACATTTAATTCGTGATTTCGACATTAGAATACGCATATTTGTTTATATTTTAAGCCAATGGGAGAGATATAACCCCTAACCAACCCCCCTGCGCACGCCACTGATACCTACCTACATGATTGAAAGTAAAACGTATAATAACCATGATAAATTAAATAGGTATGACAGAAAAAATTCTATATTCATCGTGTTTAAGCATATTCCTTCCCCTCCGACTTCCATCCGTAAACATTTGTGACGTGAGTTTTTCGACTCATCTTATTGGTTGTTAAATTTACGTTCAAATTATCATGTAATACCTATAAAAAAAGGCGATTAACCACGTCTTGTCTTTAAGAGACAAATTAATGTTGAATTTGTATTACCGATTTATCAATTATATTGTTTTGTTATTTAATGAAACACTAAAAATACAATAAGAAATAAAAATAAATTAAACAAATGTACATCTTAAAGCTATTAATGTTTATTCCTTTTATCTGTCTACATATTCATTACGAATCATGACAAATAAACATAGGTAATTAATCAATTAATAAATACGGACAATTGCCTGCATTTGTTTAATTATACAATATGTATACATATATTATATCAACTGAAATGCCTGTGTATGTATTCAGATTGTTATAGGAGTAATAAGTATTGTTACAGTAAGTATTCCATTGGTTATAGGAGTAAAAAAAGAAAGGAGTTGAAGAACTTTTTTATACCGGGCAACTTTCAAAACACTTCCTTAAGCAGAAACGTAAATTAAAATTATAGTAATCCTAGGCATTTATTGCAAATCACAATTAATATTTTTGTATTTCGTATTGTGATAACAGTAGTCGAAAATTCTACGTCACACGTAGCGTATCACAAAGTCGCTGACACACCCATTTATCATGATATTAACTGTATTATAATATGCAATATAATTTTAGGTAGGTTCTAGTGATGGGAATAATCGAATGATTTCGTCATATTCTGAGTAGAGCTAAATGTTACAAAATGGTCCACCAGAAATCTTGTCCCAGTCAAAAAAAGACAAAAAACCCGTTTTGTTGCATTTGGGAACTATTTGGTACTTTAAATAAGTCATTTTTTTGATTTTCCAAGCGATTTTCATAAAAATCGGGGAATACTTGGGGAAAAGTTACGGCAACAATTACATCATAATTTTCGATATTTACTTTTTGTTGTAACGTGGACAAAAATATCCATTACGATGGTTTACGATGATACATATGTTTTATACGCCTTGGTCGTGCAGGCAGCTATAACTATGAATATTTTAATACGCTATCCGCGGCGATCGGATAATAGTAATATAGGTGATATCAGTCATTAGTAGAATAGTAAAAAAAAAAAAAAATAAGAACGAATACCTATTGATACTGATTCGAGTAACTACCAACTACTAAACTAGTAAGTATAAAAAGAGTAACTACTGATTAGTAATTACAAATTTTTCATTCGGTAATTCTCATCACTAGTAGGCGCCTAAAATTCACAGTTGAACAATAACCATATATAATAACAATAATAATAATTTTATTCGTCTATAAATATTAAAAAGTAGACCATATGGATATCATGGTAATCGGTAAAAAAAAAACCAAGGAAATTAAAAAAAAATATATTTATTTAATATAATTGTTAAAAATACTGAAATATTTAAAAATATATTTCTTTTGAAAAATGTTGGTTTTTTTTAATTTGTAAAAAATTACACGGGAAAAAAAAGTATTTACAAAAAAAAATTAAAACTTTTCAAAATAATCAGTGGTTGCAGAAAACTTTCATTCGTCATCTGTTATATGTCGGGTATATTTTTATATATTAAATGGAATATGTGATAAAATGAATTTTCATTACTGGAAATCAGCCCGTGTATAAATTTTCATACGCTCATGCTATTATTTGAGTGGACCAAATTTAATCCGTCGATCCACTTGGGTGTCAGTGTTCTAGTCCTAAAATATAAATTGTAATATGATATCGTTTTTCTGTAACAATCAATTGTTATTATATTATTTAAAATAGTTATTTTTTTTCCGGGATTCCATAATGGGTATTCAATTATTTATAGCAATGTCCATTATTTTATTATCATATTAATTATGTTAATGTTGACAATATATTAATAATGTCAATATCGACACATATAGGCACATTGAGTACTGACTCGGGATCGATATTTTAATAATTTTTTTTTTTTTTTTCCTCAACGTTGCATTGGAAAGAAATTTCCCGACAAAAGATTATATTAATATAATAAGAGTATTTATATTAACTAGTTCAAACAATGTAAATCGCAATTAATTCGAATTAATTGTTCGGTCATCGGATTGATTTTTATTTCGGCCACTAATCGTTCCATTATCTATTTTTCTTTTTCCAATTACTAATTATTCAATTATCCCCATCGCCGTACAAGCTCTGGCAGTGACGTGACGGTGCCTTGACCGTTCCGGGTTTCCCTGGCGGGGTTAATAAATGTTCCCAAAGGAACGATAAGCGCGCTCTCGCCACTCGACCAGCGCGTGACCACTGGCCATTGCAATTTGCAATCAGTGCAGCAGCAGTCGCCGCCGTCGTTGATCGTCCCGTGATCTTGAGATTTCTTCTCACGGGTACCGTTTTATCGTTTCAAGGCCGCGATTTTTAATTCGCTCGTAGACTTTACACAGTTTCGGCTCTAACGCACTGTACCCAACGTCGGACGAAACACCGACCAGTGTAAATAGAAATCGCGGCGGGCGAATACCCGGGACTTACACTGCGCCGACTGACGTGTCAGTTGCTGTGCGTAAATACGCATTTAATCATTGTTCTTACCTAATGGTGTTTCGTCTTGTTCATCGCCGGCTAAATATTTAACGATGGTTTGGCCCTGTACCGCGACAGACGTTTAACGAAAAACACTGTAACATTCACAATACCTATATATTTTTGTTGTTTTTCAATTATTTATTTTCGCGACAACGGGTATCCGTGAATATTTTTTATACCATGTTAATAAGAATTTTGGTCGCTACAGTGTTATGTTGTTCAGTCGGTCATACGGAAACTGCAAATTCGTGCAACGGCTTATACGGCAATTTTTCTCAACATTTAGCCTCCAGCACGCCGTATAGATACATTGCCAACTACAACACAACACCTGTTGAATTTGAAGGTAATTATGAACAATATTTATTCAACAATGTTACTAATGCGATTAACAAGAAATCGTACCTAGATGTAAATGTATTATTTTGGTGATTAGGGTGTAACGCATCGAAAATTTGGCTAGTTGTAAGGCATGGTACACGAACGCCTGGAAAAGAATCTCATGAATTTTTGAAAAAAAGGATACTAGAAATCCATCAAGACTTTATCAATAATTTGGTTGAACACGAAGGTACATAATTTCAAATTTCTTTTTACATATCAATTTAATCATAGATAACAATAACGTTTCTTTTTTTTGCATTGGTAAAAAGGTATCATTAAAAGTTCAATAAATAAGTATTTAAAAAAATAAATTTTCTTGTCCATTAGTGTTTAGCTAGACAGGTTGGACAAATTAAAAAATGATAGAGTAAGTTCAACAAATAAATATAAACTTAGAGAATCCAATCACTTCAACATCCTTACTTTATTGACTAGACCACTTGGCCCATACATTTTTGTTTAAACTGCATCATTAGCTGTAACATATATACTATTCAATCATTTTTAATCAATCAATTTATTATCAAAGTAATCATAAATTTTGATACTGAAACCTAAACCAACAAATTTTGAAGTACACGTGGTGTATGACAAAATGAGCTAACAAAATACCTTATAGTACAGTTTGAAAACTTTACTAAAATCTCAATTTTCACTTTTAGATTCCGAGCGTAGCGAGCGAGCTATTTGTTTTTACTAAGATGTTTATTTCTTTTATTTTTTTTCTTCTGGTCTGTGGACATATTTTTCCTATTAAACTTGTTCCGATTTTTATGTGTAGCAACTTTTCTAAAGCTCAAGTTATCGTCTAGATGGTACCTTGAAGACGTCATTTTTTGATTTTCGACGCCATTTTTCTAATAAAAACACGAACGTTTTCTACCAAAAAAAAAAAAAACGATTTAATCGAAAAATCACGAGACATCTTTTTTGTTGCCTTTTTGATCTCCTTTCTTATGATCTCATCCCCAAAATTCGAGTTCTTAAGGAATTTTAATTTTTGGGAGTTGTTTGCTGTAATTCAGTTATAAATACATATAGAGACTTGAAACTTGGTAATAATACTTATATTGGACTTACCTAGACTTGGTAAAATTTGACCAAATGATCCAAAATGACTAGACGATTGTTTTTTTAAAAAAATCAAATTTCAACAAAAATCGCAAAAAAATTACGGCACTTCAAATTACGGGTCTGTTCTCGGAATCGTCTTTCGTCAAGCAGAGATTTATTGTCATATTATGGTAAAATAATTATATTTGTTTAATTTGTATCTATTTTTTTGATTTTTTATGTTTTTTTACATTTATTGGTAAAATTCTTGAGAAAATCTAAAAATAACCTTTCTAAGGTACCTTCCCAATCAGATTTCCTTTTAAAAAAATTACTATTATATAGGAGTAAAATTGCTGGTAGACAAATTGTTGACAGGACAGGAAAATAAAAATAAAAAACATTTTTTTTTTTTCAACCACTTAGAAACTAAAATAACATTTTATTTTTATTTAATTTGTGACTTTTAATTATTTATTAAATTTTAGGAAAAAAAGCGTATAATCAATTAGTGAGTGAATATGATTACAGCCAGCTGTATAAATTTAGGTACTTTTCTCTAAACTTTAAATATTGATAAAAAATCACGAATTTAATGAAAATAAAAAGTTCAAACATCAACATTATCAGAAGAATAAACTATAAAATGACTATCTTTAAATTGTTTAAAAATAATAAAATAAAGTTAGTTTTTAGTTTTTTTTACCAAAACATAAAAAGCTTAATTCAATTATAAATATTTGTAGTACTTATCCCTGCGAGTATTACAAAAAAAGTCAGAATTTGATTATCTTTATTATTCAAGAGGCATTGCAATGGGTATATTCTTGTGGGAGTATCCTTCCAACAAGTACAAGACTTATACCTATATATTATATATCTCAGGCCAGTGGTGATATATGCATGTAGTATTTGGGCTACAACAGCTGGTGATAAAAATAGAATAAATATTTTTGAAAGAAAAGTGTTAAGGAGAATTTATGGACCTATATATAACCTATATATAACCCCAATACTCAAGGTTGAGTATGAAGGACAAACAAACAGCTGAATCAAATATACAGAAAAAAAATATTGTCAAATTTATAAGAGGTGCAAGATTGGAGTGGGTAGGCCACGTAAGAAAGACTGTACTTGTGAACAACATAAATAAGAAAAGACCTCATGGCCGGCTGAAGCAAAGATAACTGGGTGTAGGTAGAAGAGACATAATGGACCTGGAGTGGAGACTGGAGTGGAATGGAAACTTAAATCATACATATAACAGGGAAAAATGGAAACAACTAGTATTGACTGCAAAGGGGAGCCTAGCTGGCCTGTAAAAGAAAAAAAATGTTTTAAAATATCTTTGTAAAACACCCAGTTAATTAATATTAATACATACTTTTAACTAACTTAGTGATAAAACATTAAAATTTAATTATGAATAATAAAATAATCACATATTCTCTTATTTAGGTAATTTATGTAATGCAGATGAAATTAAATCATGGAGTTTCAATAAGAAAATGAATAGTCCAAAATGGTTGACTGAAGAAGGAGAAGATGAGCTTTTCACTATTGCTGAACGCATGAAACTACGATTTCCTCAATTATTAAATAAAACGTTTGAAAATACAAATTATTTGGTAAATTATCATTATGGTGTGATCTATATGTAAGTAATATATTTATTAGCATACTTATCTAGTTTAGATATTCTAATACTCAAAGAGCTAAAATCAGTGCTCAACAATTTGCATCTGGTCTGTTTGGACGTAATGAAGTTGAGAAAATACCACTTGATAAATCATTGAATGAAGAATTATTAAGAGTGAGTTAATTAAATTTCATTATCTTAAATAATTTAAAAAACTATTCACTTGTTCAATTGTTGTTCATATAAACTGTGTTAAACAACATTAGTAGTAGCATCAATGGTAGAAGATACCATTTAGGTGATCAAAAAAATCATTATTTAGTATATTAGTTATTTATACTAATGTTATTAATATCAAAAATTAAGAATGGTACAAATTATAATTAAAAGAAAAAAAAGGAAAATATTAGTTATTCCTAGGTGTGTTGTGTGAACTGGTTTACCTTAATTGCATAGATATTTTACATCTAACTGGTAACTGGTCAATATTTGATCTTCCAATTGTCTAGACTTAATAACAATTTTTAACGTATTTTAAGCCTTTTTTTTATGTTTACACTGAGTTATGGAGGATCTGTTTTCACAATACTTCCCCACTGCTACCATCATTTATTGATAAATTTAATTAAATATTGAGTTAAACTCCCGTTTTCCTCTTCACAGGATAGGCTCACATTATACTTAAAGTATTTTTCATAATAAATTGGGAAAAACCAAAAAAGATTAAATCTATAATTTTTAAGTAGGTAGTAACTGAACTTTGCTCCGAATAGTTTTTTGTTATCAATAGTTTAAGAGGACTTCACACTGACATCTACCTACACTGTCTCCATCTTACAAACATGAGACATAATAAATTTGAGTTCTGTAGTACACATTTTCTGCCATTTTAATATTAAGGCAAATTAACTTATTACCAAATTTAGAGGTAAGAAGATACTTGCATGATTATACATGCTCTAGCATCAATGTTTTATTCAATATTTTAATTTGAAAGCAACATATAATTATTTTTAAATTGTGATATTTAATATACTCATATTTCATTGAAAAATCATTAACACTATAGCACATATTATAATCTTCTTACCTTTAAATTTGGTAATAGGTCAATTTGCTTTAATATTAAAACTAATGGCACAAAATGTATCCTACTGAACGCAAATTTGCTGTCGCACATATGTAAGATTAAGACAGTAGATATCAGTGTGGCGTCCTCTTAATGTTGGTTACAGTTATAGATTAAATAACTTTATATATACCACCTTCCCCACTATCCATCTTCAACAGTGACCCACCCGTGGTGCTAAGTATATCCGTCTGGTATTTATAATTAATTATGCTTTACTAAAGCTAAGACATCAAAAGGAGAAAGAAGAAATTCAATATCAAAATCATCCCGAAAAACTGGAAAATACAAAAAAAAATATACAAGAACTAGAAGAGCTTAAATCTGCAATAGACCTTCAAGTCATCCAAAAAAACATACAGATTTATTATTATAAGCCCTAAGTAAAAATGATTCTGTTATAGCAAAATAAGCTCAAAGTATGATCAAAACAGAAACAAAACTAAGAAATGAAGAGTGAAGTGTGAAAAAGAACCAGAAGTAGAACCCATTTGTAAAAAAATTAAAAAAAAGAAACAGCCTAATCAGTAATTACTAATTTTATAAAAATGTAATGAAAATTATTAAGTTCTTATTAAACACATTACCTATTTAGTAATTGACGAAAAAAATTGTCTGTTATTTTAATGTTAGTGTAATTATTTACCAGAAACTTGATTAATTTAATTTTAAACTTAAATCTAGGTAGATTGATTATGTTAGTTACCAAACTTATTTTAATCATTTATGTATTATATAATCTTGTAACCTTATTCTCTTGTTAATTTTTAAAGTTAAATTGTTTAATAAAATAAATTATTATATTTGTTGACTAAATTGTAATTTTAAATAATACTTTAGGTAGTAATTTTAAAAATGTATAATTATTGAAACTCATTTAAATGAAAAAAAGCTCACTTTTAAAAAAAAAAAATCAGTAGCAACCTTGTATTATGTATTTGTATTTAATACCATACAAGAATTTATTATTTGATAATAATTGGAATAATTTATGAAATATTTCAAAATTATTGATTTCCAGTTTTATGAAGTTTGCGAAAAATGGAAAAAAGATGTTAAAACGTCTTTTTTGGCAGCACTGGAATACCACAAATTTATTGGAAGTCAATTAACTAATAATACTTTAAAAAAATTATCTTCAAGACTTGGCCTAAATTACACGTTAAAATTCAGTTAGTATTAGTACTCATTAATCTCATTGCTTTTAGAAATAAAATAAGTATAATTATTTATTTAAGTGGATGCAAAGAATATATATGTATACTGTGCTTTGGAAACAGCATGGGTAAAATCTAAAATCTCGCCGTGGTGTTCAGTTTTTGATAAAACTGATCTAATGGTAATTTACTATAAATAGAAATTACTAATAACTTATAGGTAGATCATTTTAATAGTTTGTATACTTTATAGGTTCTCGAATACAGCGAAGATTTGATTCATTACTTGATGGATGGCTATACTTTTGAGTTAACATGTCAACAATCCTGTGTCCTATTAAAAAATATGGTAGAACATTTTGAGTAAGCTATAATGACATCGTATAATTTTAATATGTGTGAATTTTTTTTTAGATTCTGAGTGGAGCGAGGAATGTATTGGTTTTAACAATAATGTTTATTTTTTTTTAATGGACAACTTTTCTACCAGCAATTTTACTCTGATTTACAATGGTTGCACTTTTTCTGAAAGGAAATCTGACTGGGGAGGTACTTTAGGAAGGTCATTTTTTGATTTTCCAGGAATTTTTCCAAAAAGCGGGAAAAAACGGAAGAAAATAGGTACAATATTAAACAAATATTATTAAAGAAAATATATAATGCATATGTGATAATTTCACCAGAGTATGATATATATGTTATTGACAAAGCAACACTATTAATCTAACTCCGCTCAGAATGGTTTCTTTCATTAGGAATAGTTAATCGTTGCGTACAGATGTATATTGAATTAACCCCTCTACTACCTTCCTAACTTCACACATACAACAGTGACGCACCCACGTGCAAAGTATATCCATTTTTTTTATTCTGAAGGTTGTGCCTCGTCACTTCAACCAATTTTCTAATTGTTCAACTAATTTCTCATTGACTTATAAAAATAAGACTTATAATTATTATTAAAACATAGACTTAAATCTAATTTCTTCCTTAAGTTTTAAGAGATTGTGTCTTCCACTTCTTCTTCTCTCATTTACTTTTTCCTCCCTAATGTATTTAATAAAACCATTGTACCACATAATATGTCTTATAAATTTGTTCCTAGTTTAAATCATTATGATGATCAGTTTTTTTCTTCTGCCATATTTGTTACACCTACATTATTTTTCCTTCTCTTCTGCTTATCTTCATCACTCTAAGCCATATCCTCATCTCCAATGTCTTAATTCTCCTTTACGTCTAGTGTCTAATTTCTTCATTTGTGATGTAATATATTTATTGTTATTTATAGTAATGATGATTTAAATAGCAAAAATGGTATTTTCTATTTTGCCCATTCCGGAACTGTTTTAAAATTACTTGGTTTATTAAAACTTTATAAAGATGAAACTGAATTGAAACATGACAACTACTTTGAAATGGAGAATCGAAAATGGAGGACTTCAAAAATAGATCCTTTTGCTGCAAACATAGCATTCGTTTTGTACAAGTACTTAAATGATTCATCAGATTAGCATTTGATATATTATATATTATATATATTTATTATTTTTATAATTGAATCAATTATTATTAATTATAATCAGTAATATTTTAGTTTTATTAGGATACTAAATTTTAAACAAACAACTATTATAAATTGTATAATATATTTATTTATTTTTGACTTAAGTCATTTATAATATACATATAATGTCAATTATATATTATTTTCTAAACGAATAATAAAAAACAAATTATATTAATCATCATAATGTAAAATGTGTATTTTTATTAATACTGTTGTTTATTTAACATTGTGTACAAATAATTTTTTTATAAATAAAATGTGCCTTTTTATATGGCCTAGAGATCCCAGATTTATTTATTATAAATATTGGGCATTTTAAGTCGTACTTAAAATGTACATATATTGCAACAAACCATCATGTGGTGGGAGGGAAGGGGGACGGTGGTTAAGATGTAGCCCTCCAAACTATTCTGTATCTCAAAAGTTATCCAATCAAAATAAAAATGTTTACTTTCACATCATTTTTTGTACGAAATATAATGTTGAAGTCAAACTGACGTAATAATATTAACATAATTCAAAAATGTTATTTGTCTACAGTGATAATATCCAATCGCATGATATAAACAAATAAACAAAATAAAAATATTAAAGTTCTGATCTTAGTAATTATAACAATCAATCTCAATTTATTTAATCAAAATATATTTTGCAAATAAAATTATTTGTTGTAATTGTCATAATTAGATTTTATTAATTAAAAAAATTTTAATTTTATAATTTAAGAAATAAAGAAAATTGAGGGATATGTGGAATGGGTGATTTAGAATACGGGACAAAAGTGTTGTTAGAACATTTGATCGAGACACCAGGACACTTGTCTCAAATACCGGGCGCCGTAGTTTTATAAAAGTAAGGACAAAGGACACAGTGATAAATGATGACAAAATAAATCTATTTAACCTTTCTCATTGAAAATTCCTATAAAATCCGTTACAATTTAGACGGCGCTCGGGTAAAAAGAAAGAAGTATAAAAACACTATCTTGAGAAAACTAAAAAAAACTTTATTATATTCAAGAGTTATAAACAATATTTTTGAAATTTTTTTCAATTAGTTATTCAAACATGGGTTTTCTTTAAAATTAAAATATTGATTAACTTTGGAATAATTCCCTTATGCGCATGACTTATTACTTTTGGATAGTTTTAATTTGACTTGTTCCCTATTACACATTTATTCGTTTGAGCAACATTTCGTAATAATAGGTACAATCTCTTACATAATATATTAATAACTATTATAGTGAGTGGAACAAGAAATGTATTTATTTTACAATGATGTTTATTTTTTTTTTAATGTGAACACTTTTTCTACCAAAAAGCATACTCCGATTATCAAGTATAGCATTTTTTCTGAACGGAAATTTTCTCTTGGTGGTACTTTTAAGAGGTCATTTTTTTTTAAATTCTCATTAATGTTCGAGATAATGAGGAAAACCTCGGTCTTAAAGTTAAAAAAGATTGAAAGATTAAAAATAAGATCATTATTGGCAACCGTTTTTATATATTTATTGTTATAATTAAGTTTTTATTATTTTAATCTTTTTTAAACAATCATTGTTATCACGGAAACGCACATTGTTTTAATAATTTTACCATTATGTGACATAATACCAGATATTGTACTGTTGACAAAGTAACATTATCAACTGCAGAATTCGGCTTAGAATCGGTTATTCTTTAGCAATGGTTTATCGTTGCTTACAGATATACATTAAATATCCGTCTGTAGCCTACCTTCCCAACATACCACCTGCAACAGTGGTTGCACCCATGCGCAAAATATGTCCGTCCTTTCATCATATATTAATTATGGTAATGATTAATTTGTTATCATTGTTATCAATGTTATCAAATGTATCATAATTTACACGTCGAAGGGAAAAATGTCGATAATTCCTCCCCTAAATTAGGTACGATACGGGGTGAAAGTGAAAATGTTCGCGGGCGCAAGGCACTAAATTCGGCCGAAACGTTCAATACCGAACTGTAAACCGCACGGACATGGGTATAAAAACGGATAGAGTCGCGGGCAATAATTATTTGTACGGATTACACGGTTATTGTTGCGCACGATTATATTTATTCGCGTATTTATTTCAATAGAGATCGCGTGTTATCGCGTTACCCGCAATTGTGTTTAGTACTGCTTCGCATTCGCCATTCTATCAATCCATTTAATCCTTAACATTTTACGGTAACACCGCATTTCGGCGGAGGCCTCTGGTATTCTTTTCTACTCTACCGCACCGATTGTCCGAGTTTCACAGCCACAAAAGGCTACTGTACCCCGTACATACATTTTCAAGAACCTTTTCCTCGTCTCTACGGCCACATCTTCCGTTATTTCACTACCTAAGTAATTAAAGTCATGCACTTGTTCTATGCGTGCGTTGTCGATATTTATGGTAAGCTGAATAGGGTTTGTCTTGCTGCACATCATTAACTTTGTCTTTTTTTATTTAATCGCATTCCATATTTGTTCTATAATATTTTATTTACATTAGTTAAACATTTTGCAGGTCATCCTCTATTTCTGCACAAAAAGCAATGTCATCGGCAAATCCTGAAGTATTATGATAAGTATATTACACGACCGGTTTTGAATAAAAAATTTATCATCGGATATATCACAGTCAAAATGTAAAAAGCAACTGAATATGAAAAATAAAATGAAGGAATACATGGAAAAAAAAAAAAGTATAAATTTCAAAAAAATCTAAAACCAATAGGTAGTCGTGAATAATATTGTGATAGTGTGATTAAAAATTATCAATTGATAATATAGTTCCGGCCTCAAATTGAATGGCAGAACGGAACTTCTCATGTTATCACTAGTTAGCAATCTATTATAGTTTATTATACAAATCTATGATACTGTGACGGGTTTCGCGCCACATTTCTTCCCGCTGCGCGTCGCTCGCGGCGGACGTCGGCCACGCCCCTCGCCGTCGGCGTTCAGCGGTCATCGTCCACAGCTCCGCTCGTCTCGACGTCACCACTGCTCCTCTCTCTCTCCGCATCGACGCCGTACGCGAAGCATTGTTTTCGACTCCGAATAATTATTATGTATAATTGTTTTTCTTAACTAATGTTGTTTTTAATTGTTGCGTGCNCGCCTTTCCTCCGTCAAAAGCCGTCTGCTGGCGATCACTTGTATTATGTCTTTATGTTGTAAATAAGCGTTTCTTTATTACCTTATCATAAACCTCGTATCTTGGTGTAACCCGCCAAAATACTAATAAAAGAAACGGTTCTTATCTGTAACCGTTTATTTTATAAGTTGTATAAGTGTCAAGTGATATAAACCACGAATTAAAAATAATTATACTAAAATACTGAATATATTTTGATCATAGACCAAATAACTTATTAGGTCTATGATTTTAACTTATAATACATTTTTCATTAATAAGTTTTTTATATTGTCTGGTTAAAATCACGGAATATGAATCTCGTTTATTCTTAGTTCGTGGTTAGAATACGCTGGTTAAACGCAAAAAACAGCAAGTGATAAAATGTGATATTGCTATCATATAATTAATTTAAATAAAATTCTGTGCGTTATCCACGAACTCTAGTAGCTTAGTGTTCAAGGTCATAATATTATTTTTGATAAAAAATTTAATTAGATAAATGACAAAAAATATGCCAAATTGCCCATTCATCGTTATTCATTTTACTTCTTTAATTTTTATTCTTATCTGCTAGTTTTAAGTTTGTTCGTCATCACCGACTAAATATTTAGCCATGGTCTAGTTCTATACATTTAAATATTACAATAAACGTTTAGTTTCTTAAGCATAGTGTAACATTTCTAATACTTATATATTTTTATTATTTTTTTTTAAAAAAAGGTGAATATTTTTCATACCATGTTAATAATTTTAGTCACTTTAGTGTTAAGTTGTTTAGTTAGTCATATACTAACTGAAAATTCATGCAATGGCATACACAGCAATTTTTCTCAACATTTAGCCTCCAAAACACCGTATAGATATATTGCCAATTACAACACAACACCTGTTGAATTTAAGGGTAATTATGAAAAATAATTATTCAACAATATTAGATAGGGTATATTATTCATCATACCTAGATAAAAATATATTATTTTGGTGATTAGGATGTTATCCTTGGAAAATTTGGCTAGTTCAAAGACATGGTACAAGAACACCTGGAAAAGAATTGGATCAATTTGTGAAAGAAAGGTTACCAGTAATTCAACAAGAAATCACAAACAATTTAATTAAGCATGAAGGTATAAAATTTAAATTTGTATTTTTATATTAATTTAATTGTGGATAACAATTTTTTTTTTTTTTTAGTATTGGTAGATAGGTATCATAAAAAGTTCAATAAATAAGTATATAGAAAAAAAAATTATTTTGTTTATTGGCGTTTCGCTAGGTGGGTTGCGCAAAAATAAAACAATCATATTTTAACACTTTTTAATTAAAAAATAAAAATATAAAATATATTATGACATGTAATTTTTGTTCAAATTTTTTATAATTTCCACATCAAAATTATTCTTGTGTCTGGTAGAGATGATTAAAACTGTTAAATGTAATTGATGTAGGATTGGTTTTAATTTTTTTCATACAAGAAAAGATCTGTTCACAGACAAATGTAGATCTAAATTTGTTGCAGCTATATTATCTAAATATTGAAAATGATGGAGTTAGTTCAGCAAAAGAAAATACGGACACTTCGCACAATAGGTGGGCCACTGTTGTAGGTGAGATATTAGGAAAGTAGGATATAGAGAGGCACTTAATGTATTCTTATATGTAGCGAGTAATCATTGCTAATAAAAACAATTTTAAGCAGAGTTATATGTTTTAAAATGCATAATTATGACCTTTATTCACTGAAATTTTATAATAAAATTTGTTTTAAAAAAAATACTAAGTACATTAAACTCAACTTTTCCTTGTTGGCCCTACTAAGTACAACTTATAATGAACCTTATGTTAAATATTCAAACATTTCTGTTTGGTCTATCAATTTTATCCACAGAGTACCTACTGAAAAAATATTTTACGTAAAAACCTTGCAAAATTAAAATATCTATTAATAACTTAAAAATGGCTCAAATGTTTTGAAAATTTCACCATGTTTAAAAAAAACCAAATAAAAGGTTTCTAAACAAATTTCAAGTCTCTACGTCTCTAAATCTTTAACTGAATTACAATAAAAAACAAAATTGAAAATCATGAAAGCATTATTTCCTACATTTTCCCAGTTTTCCCCAATTATTTTTAAAACTGCTTGGAAAATCTAAAAATGACTTCCTTTAAGTAGCACCCCAGGAAAATTTCTTTTCAAGATTTCTGGTAAAATTTTTGTACACAGTAAAAGAAAAAAAACCATCATTGTTAAACTAATACATTTCTCGCTTCGCTTAGAATTTAATACAAAGATGATTGATTGAATAAGTTTTTAAGAATATCTTGTGATTGTAAATCTAATATTTCAATTTGAAACCCAATAGTAACATATTGTCAAAATAAATATTAAATAGTATGGCATGTAATTAAAAATATTGTGAACATAATTTGAAATGTAGAAAATAATTATTTAATTATTAATTTGTATTGAACTATACCTAGTCTAGGTATCTAGAAGTAAATGCATATTACACACTTGTACTGAAAAGAGGAGTATGAAATAAATATTTGTGCCACTGTTTACCTATTACCGGTCTAAATTCATAGAAAATCCAATCATTTTAACACCCTTGTCTTATTGATTAAACCACTAAGTACTTACAATATTGTCTAAATTGTATCATATATTGTTATATAATCAAGTGAACCAAAAATTTAACTGTGCATTTTGATTCTTAAACCTAAACCTTAAAAGTGCAAGTGGTGTATGACAAAATAAGCTTTCAAGATACCTGTTTGTACAGTTTGGGAGATTTTCCTAGAACCTTGTATGGGAAATTTTAAGCAAAGGTCAAGGTTTACTAGTGACAAAGATTCTTTTGACCAATTATAGGTTTGCTTATTATATTAGAACCCTAAGTTTATATAATATATTCATTATTTTTTTTTACAATTTTTGCACGCTATATTTAATTCCATTATTATGTTTATCATACATTTTATTTACATACACTTTAAACTTATACTATAGGTACCATGTATACATTTTTCATTGTTACCTACATTTTATATTATATAATAATATGACACTTATAATTCAGAATGTCTTAATATAGCAAATATAAAACTTTATCTGTAATCATATAATGTAATATACTGTTGACCTTCTATTAAATTGTGTCTATGCATGTTATTATATGTATTATAAATTATAAGACTGTATAAGTCAAGAACAGTTAACTACTATTTATACATAATATATTGTGTTGAATAAATAAATATATATTATATTTAACTTAGTGATAAAACATTAAAATATAAATGTAAGATAATAGTAAAATAATCACTTGTGTTTGTATTTAGGTAATTTATGTAATGCAGATGAAATTAAATCATGGAGTTGTCATAAAGAAATAGATAATCAAAAACGGTTGACTAAAGAAGGAGAGGATGAACTTTTCGCTATTGCTGAACGCATGCAACTACGGTTTCCTCAATTATTAAATCAACCATTTGCAAATACAAATTATTTGGTAAATTATGATTGTTGTGTGATCCATATGTAGGTGTTTTATTTATCAGCATACTTATCTAGTTTAGGTATACTGATACTCAAAGAACTAAAATAAGTGCTCAACAATTCGCTACTGGTCTGTTTGGACGTTATGAAGTTAAGAAAGTATCATTTGAAAAACCATTGGATAAAGACCCTCTATTAAGAGTGAGCTAATTAATATTCTTATCTTAAATAATTAAAAAAAATATTCATATGATCAACTATTATTAAAATAAATAATGTTAGTAATAAAATTAATGGCAGAAAACAATTATTGTAGGAGAACAAAAAAATTGGTTATTAATACTAACATTATTTACAATAAAAATTAAAAATGGCACAAATTACAATTTAAAAGAAAAAAAAATGGAAAATATCAGTTATCCCTTGGTGGAATATTATCATATAAATTTGTGTTACCAAAGTTGCTTAGATATTTTTAATTTAACTGGTAAATATTTGATCTTCTGTGTTATTGCTTGAATTTCACAACATTATTTAAATGGTTTTTAACTTACTTAACATTATTTTATAAATACTTATAAATTTTAAATTTTTGTTTCACCCAAAGACATTAAAACCTGGATTGGTAGTGATATTACTATTATAGTTTATGATATATATTATTTATTAACATTGATATTATGCATTTGTATTCAATATTATACTAGAATTTTTTAATAATTGCAATTATTTATGTAATATTTCAATATTATTATTTTCTAGTTTTATAAAGTTTGCCAAAAATGGAGAAAAGATGTTAAAAAGTCTTCTTTGGCATCTATTGAATACCAAAAATTTATTGAAAATCAATTAACTGTTAATACTTTAAAAAAATTATCTTCAAGACTTGGCCTAAATTACACATTAACATTCAGTTAGTATTAGTACTCGTTATTCCCGTTGATTTTGGAAATAAAATAAATATAATTATTTATTTAAGAGGATGCAAAGAATATATATGTATACTGTGCTTTTGAAACCGCATGGGAAAAATATAAAATCTCTCCATGGTGTTCAATTTTTGATAAATCTGATCTAATGGTAATTTACTTTAAATAGAAATTACTAATAACTTATAGGTAGATCATTTTAATAATTTATATACTTTATAGGTTTTTGAATATAGCGAAGATTTAAAACATTACTTGATAGATGGCTATACTTATGAGTTAACATACAAACAAGCCTGTGTCCTATTAAAAAATATGATAGAACATTTTGAGTAAGCAATAACATTATCTTATAATTTTAATATATATACATTTTTTATTTTATTTGAAGACTTTATTTTATTACTAAAACTGATTCTATAATTGTTAAACTAATCTTTTATTGATTTATAACTTGGTACATATAATTTCTTCCTTAAGTTGTTAGAGATTGTATCTTTCACTTCTTTATGCATTTATTTTTTCTTCCCTGATGTGTATAATAAAACCATTGTACCGCATAATAATATGTTCTGTAGACTTTTTCTAGATTGTTTAAATCATTATGATGATCAGTTTTTTTCTTCTGCCATATTTGTTACACCTACATTAGTTTTCCTTCTCTTCAGTTTATCTTCATCACTCTAAGACATGTCCTCATCTCCAATGTCTTAATTCTCCTTTATGTCTAGTGTCTAATATCTATTCGTTTGTGATGTAATATATTTGGTTGTTATTTATAGTAATGATGATTTAAATAGCAAAAATGGTATTTTCTATTTTACTCATTCCGGAACAATTTTAAAAGTACTTGGGTTATTAAGACTTTATAAAGATGAAAGTGAATTGAAACATGACAATTACTTTGAAATGGAGAATCGACAATGGAGGACTTCAAAAATAGATCCTTTTGCTGCAAACATAGCATTCGTTTTGTACAAGTACTTAAATGATTCATCAGATTAGCATTTGATATATTATATATTATATATATTTATTATTTTTATTTTTAGGTGTAATAATGATGAAAAGAAAATATTGACATTACACCAAGAAAGAATTATTCGTATAAATGGCTGCGAAGATGATCTTTGTCCATATGATAAATTTAAACAATTATTTAAAACTGAACTACAAAATTGTAATTTTAATGAAATGTGTAATATTGACTAAAATATTATTTAGATACCATAAATAATGTTATTTAGTTAGTAACAAAATATCCATATCAATTATTATTTTTATAATTGAATCAATTATTATTAATTATAATCAGTAATATTTTAGTTTTATTAGGATACTAAATTTTAAACAAACAATTATTATAAATTGTATGATATATTTATTTATTTTTGACTTAAGTCATTTAAAATTTACATATAATGTCAAAATGTATTATTATATATAATTTTTGTACATTTTCTAAATTAATAATAGAAAACAAATTATATTAATTCTTATTATATAAAATGCGTATTTTCATTAATATCTGCTGTTTATTTAACAATGTAAACTACTTTGTTTTTTATAAATAAAATGTGCTTTTTTAAATGATCTTCAATATGTTAACAACTTATTTAAAAAAAGCATGTAGGTATTTTACTACTTTATTCTTATTTCTCAGACCAACATTTATTACATTTTTTTTACTTTACTATTATTTTCAACAATAAGTAATATAGGCAATTTTTTCAAAAAATATAAATTTCTATTATTTATCTTTATCTAAACATCTGTGATGTAGATGACTTGTCTATGGTTATAACTGGTAACCTTGAGGTGGTTTTGATTATCTGATTCTACTACAAATGACATAAATAGTTATTTGTACTATAATAAATTGTATTTATTATATTATATTTACAGGTACTTATATTATAATAATTTGTATGGTAAAAGAGTAAATAAATATAAAAAATAATTGACATACTTTGCACAATGGATGGGCCCCTGTTGTAGGTAGGATGTTGGGAAGGTAGAATATAGAGGAGAATTTAATTTATATCTAACCAACAAGAAACCATTGCCAACGAAAACGATTTGAAGTGAAGTTACTTTTATACATGAACATATATTTTTTTTTTATTTTTCCCAATTATGAAGACAGCTTGGAAAATCAAAAAAAACATACTACACTTGGAAATTGAAGCAAAATTTCGGCTGGAAAATTTGTTCACAGGTATAAAAAATAAAATACATATCATTTTAAAAAAAACATCTAATGTTCACTACGATCTGTATCTAACAATGGATCATAGTAAAATCAAAAATATATGAGTAATATACTGTATTAAAATAAAAAATATTAATTTATTATAACAATTATCAGTGACGTTTTAGAAGGAAATTAAAACGTGTACCCTCCCCCTGAAATTTTTTCGATAACTACTTCGTAATGTTTTAAAAATAGATATTGTTTTATATTAGGTATAATTAATTAATAAAATGCATTATTAAAACATAATATAATAGGTAGGTATATAATTTATCAATTATCTAAAAATGTAACAAAGGAGAGGATTGGAAAATTATGCATAGGTTTATTTATTACACAAAAAATAAAATTGAATATTGATTGATAAAAAACCAACCTAAGTGATATGGTACCACATATCTATTCACCTAAGGTAATTGGAAGCGATGATTTCTGTCCTATTCTTTCACAAATTCCATAGGAAATTAGATGTGTTATATTCTACCATATAAGACTAGTGAAGCTATAAGGATTCTATAAGCAGATTCAAATTTGCCATCAAATTACTTGAGATGGACTTTTCCACAATTTCTCCGAAAATGAAATATTTCTTTTTTTTAATTATTCTTTTTGTTACGGATTATTTTAGGTCGATAAAATCAAAAAAATGTGGGAGACTCAATTTCAACTTGACAATAAATTCAAATCTGATTTCAGAATCCTCAGACAAATCTGTACATTGGAAATAGAACACTTCTAAATTCCTTTGTTACAAACGTGTAAGACAAAAACAGAAAATCACTGCTTCCAATCCATTTAATAGACATTATAATATAATAATATTTTTAAATTTCCTTAGCATACTGCCGGTTATTGAACTTCTTAATAATTAAGAAGTGTTGCTTTAGAGCATTTCAATAGTTTTTAAATTTTATAAGTAAAATACCACCTACAATATACCACTTATTGTGTAATACGAAAATGTAAGTTAGGTAGGTATATACATTTTTTTTTTTATCGTTTTTGTTAAATAGATATGAATAATCCATTTCAAGTCCAACTATAAGTTTAGGTCCCTAGGTATTAAGGTATGCTGTATGTTGTATCACGTATTCACATACAACAATTCCTTTTGTCATCGTTTTCGGAACCAACTAGCAGATGCTGACTTCGTCCGTCATCTGCGTTCGCCGTTTCGATTTTAGAAAGTTTTCGAGCTAAATCAATATTAGATAATTGAATTACACCATGTAAAAATAAAATTAGTTTTTTTTTTTGTTTTCATTACATACCGATTGTTTTAAAAACATCTGTAACATTAACACTGTGTTTTGCCGAGGTCTCCATAAACAATAGGTTATTTTCGTCCGCGAACTTTTGCAATTCGTCAAACTCTACGCTTCTACAGATATTTAAATCTAATTTGTTCCCCACCAACATCGTTAGAGTACTAGGAACCTGGTTTTGGAGTTCTTTGATCCATTTTTTAGCTTTTTCAAATGTAACCTTTGGGAAAAAAAAAAATTGTAGGTAGGTATAAAATATTCTCAAACATGTATTAGTGTATGGATAAATTAACATTATTACATGATCAGTTATATCGTAAACTATAATCGCCGCCTGAGTACGCCTATAATACATTGGCGCTAAAACATGATAACGTTCTTGACCGGCCGTGTCCCAAATTTCTAATTGTACGGTTAAATCATTTATTAGAACCGTTTTCGTAAAATACGCTGCTAAGAAATACAATCGTTTCTATTACGATAATAAAATGAGAACCGTATTTTTAATATAATATAATATTATATAGGTACAGTGGCGTGCCCATTAATTTTTAACAGGAGGGGATGTAGTAAATAATAACTATGGTCCAAGAGCGTCCACAGGGAGGTGTCGGTCGGGGCCATGGCACCTCCGCTATTTTAGTTCACATTAAATATTAATTATTTTATTACTCGCACGTAAATATTTAAGCCATGATTACTTATAAGTTTTAAGTTATAGAAAAGTCTTATAATTTTGACTTTGCCCCCTCCCCCGGTTTATATTTCTGCGGGCACTCTTGTCATGGTCCCTGAATTAATCGTAGAATTCTACGTTATTAATAATATAACCCTGCACTCTGCAGGGGTCACTGAATAACGGCCCGCAGACAAGGAGAGGAAAAAATAAAAAATCGATAATACCTACGACGTAAATATATAAACACCGTTTTAAAAAACTGAAATTGATTTTAAAAAAAAACTATGTATCTGAAATGAAATATCTGACGCTGAAATTATTATTGATTATTGAATAAGTTTAGATTCCGGATCGCTAACATTTGGAAATTATATGGAAGATAGCGTGCACTAATCATTCTCCAAATTTCAAAACTTTAGTTGGGAGTAAGATTTATCAATTTGCCCACTAAAAAATGTTCTATTTAGACTGTAATTATGATAGAATTATTTTTTCATTGTTTTATAAAATAATGTGTAATAATAATATCTAAATCTAATATTTGTAATATTAAATTATGTTTTCATTTCTTTCAATTTTAAAATAATATGATATGTTTAAAATATGAACTTTGAATTTGGATGGACCACGAAAAATGTCTAGATTAATAATGGGACCCTTCAAAAATATTATTTGGAGACTAGCGGTCAAGTTTTCTCCTTGTAACTTGACTAAAATATAAAAATAATTTCATGATAAAATTACTAAACATTTAAATACCTGGGTACTATTATACTTTATGTATTTTGAATCTAATGGAAGGGATATAGGTAACCCATATTACGATCCCTCTGCGCACGCCACTGATAAAAGTGGGTACCTATCTATACATAATAGGTGTTTTGATACCGAAAATAAATTGTTAACTATTAGGTGTACATACCACCTATAGTATTTTGTGGAAATTCATGAAATTGGTTTTTCACAAATCTATCCACCAAGCTAGATTTTCCGACTTCTGATTCGCCCAGCAAAACTATTTTGAACCGATGATTATTTTCCGAAATTGAACTGTAAGTCCTGTTGTCTGCTACTCTATAAGTCATGATATCGACTTCTGATTAGTATTATAGGCTTTATCTGGAAAAAATTAACATTCCTATAGATGTTTTGTAACAATAGACATATTAGAAACCTAGTAAAGCAATTTTTTTTACGAGAACTTGTTTAAAAAATAATTGAATTAAACCCATAGTAAAATAGTAAAACTACAATACTTAATAATATTATAGTATAATATTTCAGTGTTTACGAAAATTTTATTTTTATTGATTTGTCATTAAAATACGTCGAATCACAGTTCACATACTTTTTTTAACGGTGCGAAGACCATATGCGATAAGAAACGTTCGAAATGATTTTTAAAGGCCACTGAACGACTTATTGTACGTATAGGACATTAAAAACTGACAAAATAACGTACATTTTATAGTGTGTCTACATTTTCCATTTATTACTTAGTTTTCCGTCTCATTTGCAACTGTATTTCTCTTCAGTTGAGTGTAATGTTAGTGAGTTTTGACGGTATGGAAAAAGCATTGTTGTGGTTTTCATCATAATATCTTTAGTACAGCTTATGGGGCGAAAAAAAAGGTAAATAGAAGAAATTGGTCAAGAAAATGAAAAAGAAGTCAGTACTCCCATGTCAATTTACTGAAAGAATTGAGTATCGAATCTATTATTAATAACCACTGGCGCAATTATTTGCGTATCGATTTACAATCGATTGTTGGACTGGTAACGTCATACATAAAGAAAGATGGCACTAATTGTATGAGAAAAGCTAATATGGTAATGTTAAAAAAAAAAAAACGAAATTAGGTTAAATTAAAGTGTTGAAACTATATGGTCTAGGAGAGAACTAAAAACTAAAAACCAAAAACGGACGAAAAATTGTACAATATGCACCGAACCTGTATTTACATGTAACGACTTGTCGTTCATTTTCGCGGAAAATGAATCCGCCCCAATCAGTCTTTCGATCCAATCTTGGATTTCATTCCGATTCGATAAGACGAACGATTTGATACATAGGTACATGCTCCGTTTTACTTGATACGATTTGCCGTGTTCGATAAACGTACTACAATGAGTCGTTGCGTGTAGACCGGCCTTAACGTTAGGTTTTTAGTGAAAAAAAAATACTTTTCATAAAACAATTTTTTACGGTCGCGTCTAAACTTTCACATTTGAAGAATTTTGTATGTATGTATTTTTGATATCTCATATATATTATAATGTTAATTGTCTTTTGAATAGAGGTTTTGCTTAATACTTGCTTTTTATAGCGTGCATAATATTTCTAAGTTGAAAAAAATATCGCGAGTAATCGCATATACCGTCTTATATTTTACGACAGTAATATTATTAATTAGTGTATTATTTTTTTTTTTAAATCTATGTATAGTAATATAATAAAAATAGTTTACCAGATTTGACACTACTGTAGCGATAATTGTAATTGTACAACAATTGTGATGTATACAATAGCGTATAGGCGGCTATTCAGTACACGGAAAAAAAGGAAAACAAAACGTGACGCACCATGTAAACAAAGTATGTGACAGCCCGACTACAACTGATCGGCTGACGCGAGTAAAAACATTGCGACGGAGTGGTGATGCGAAATTGCGATAATCTCGGTGTGGTGTATACCGCACCACGTGCGACACTGGTGCAATACTATTGCGCGCTTTTTATATTTTTCTCTACGACATAAAAAAAAAAGTCTATTAAACAATTTGACAATTCCGCGTTTTTGACCGAAACTTTTAAAAACCTTCCGTTGTTTTGGTCCCCGCGGCAGAAGAAAACCCAGCGCCCCGTATTATTTCTTCGCGGGCATCACTTTTTTATCTTTTCATTATTTCAAAAAAAAAAAATCACAATTTTCCTTCTTAATATAACAGTCGTCCAGCGACATGCGCAGGGGTGGATTTTAGAGGTTATATTTCCTACACCCCATTTGCTTAAAAGCACAACAACTATAAAATAAACTACCAATAATAATGTTTATTTAGTAATTTCATTGAAGTCATATATTTTAGCCAATAAATTATCAGGAAATAAAACATTGATTCATTGAACACTGCTTTCTCGGTATACGGCGTATAGCAACTTCTCAATTTGTTGGTTGATACGTATACTTATTGTATACATATGCCGATATCCCGAGTGCATCCCGTTTTTAATTCGAGCTTTTTTCATTGCTCGAGAGCGTCCGCGGTCTTGTCGACAAATTATTTTGAATTGTCCGAGTGCGTCCGCTGGCTTTAGGTATATATCAGATACTATAGGTGGATAAACTGATCCGTGGGGTAAGAACGTTTTGTTTCAACTTAGATAATAAAACTCAATAAGACTATGGAGAACTAATAGTCGTGCGGTAACTAAGCTAGTGAACGAGTGTAGTGCCGTAATTTTTCCCGAAACCTGATACTGAATTACTGAGTTAGAACTATAATTTTAAACATTTTAAACAAAATTGTTAGAATTGTTATGTTTTTTGTTATGGGCAAAAAAATTTAAATACTATAAATACTCTAAAAACTATGTATTCTGTATCTATTTTATAACACTCAACCAACCTAAATTGGTGTAATCAATAATAGATAATGAAATAATCTAATATTTTTGCGGTTCAAGTCGGTTCATCTCTTCGTGGTACACTTATTATTATTTACCTATAGTGTACTAAAATCTGTCTCACGGAAGAATAATACTGTTTCTACCTTCATTGACTTTATGATGTTTATGTCCAATGGTCATTATGGTCATTAATTGACCATAATCCGTAAAGTGAGTTCAACTTGAAAGTTTTAATATAAACCAGGGACTAAAATTGTGTATATTACTACACACTTTGTGTAATACGAAATGTTAGGTCTGCAGTATACAACATTAAAAAATGTGTAGTAAATGTGTAATAAAAATGTTGATATTTATTTGTGTTCGATTTTATTTTTACATCTTTTTACACTTTTAATAATTATTATTAGAGAAAAAAAAAATTTAAAATGTATCTTTATTAAAGTTTTAAATAACAACAAGTTTACTCGTAAAACATTGACAGTTATCACATATTACTTCAAGTCTTCAAATAGGATAAAGGCACAGAATAGATAAAAGTTACTATATTATTGATGTTTAATTCATAGGTAATACATTATTAAATAAAGAATCAAAACTGATCAAATATTTATGTGTGTAATTAATGTTTATTATATTCATGATGATGATAGATTGTATCAGTTATGTAATTTTAAAAATATTGTTTCAAGTTAATTTATAAAAAAAAAAAAAAGAAAACAAATAATACATTGATTTAGTCCCGATGAGAAAATCTAAAATAACATCTTTAAGGTATATTATTAGGTTTATTAGGTACACTATATTAATTTAGGAAAAAAAAATGAGCTATTATTGTTCTTCTATTAATTTTTAAGAGATTATTTTTTCATTAATGTGCTGATCAAAAATTCCGCCTTCTCAACCCTCATCAAAAACTGAAATTCCATTTCGGGGGGGGGGGGATAGTACCTACGATATAAAATGGTATAATATGTAGTGTGCATTACGAAAAAGTCAAGAAAGAGTAGCCTCTAATGTAAACGATTGGTATTTCATTACCTATAGAAAATGTTACCTACCTATACATAATATTAGGTACTTATAATTATATTATGCGTAATATTACTTGAAATTGTAATATTTAAAGATATACGATTTAGTATACTATTAAAATTACAGAAATTAATATAAATTTAAACTTTTTGAATTTAAAAAAAATAAATTTTTGGGGGTGGAAAGTGAGAATTAACCCCAACCACTCCTTTTACTTACAATTGGCATATACTTAAGACTTTTTTAGGACTACATTACTGCTTTTTTGGATTCGGCTTTTAAATTTTTATTATTGGGATAGAATCTATCCCAAAATATCTATCTTTAAAATCTGGAAAATTTTGTATATTGTAACTTTTGGCTCTTCCGTCAAAAAAGGCTGCCGACCCCTGGGATAGATTGTACACTTATACCGTACAACGGTATATGTACGGTATTCTACGAATTAACTACGAATCATGATTATTAAGTATTTATTACATCCTCTCCTACTGAAAATTCCTAAATACTTGTACTGATTGCAGCAAATTTTGGACTGGATGATGAACTATTTTTTCTTTTATATTGTTGACTCATTTAAAAAATGCGATAATTTCTAATTTGTTGTTATGTACAAAAATATAAATATTCAACTCGAGTTATATGTTTATTTTACATATTATGTGCGCATAACTAATGTATAATTAAAATAATTACATATAATAATAGATAAAATATTTCTGATAATTTAAAATAATTACTTGCATGAAAAATTGTAAATTTCTTTTTGTTTTATTTTTTCTTCGGGTGAGCATGCAAACATGTTGTTTTTTTCCTTATGAAAAGGTAAAAGCGCGTGACAGTACACAATGATTAATGGCTATTGACTAATTTAATATAATGTACATAATAATATTGTTCCAATATAATTTTTCGATTAAATGTTCTGAACTAATTAGTGTACAGTAGTGCACGTAGGATTTTTTTTTCAGAAGAGATTTTGTTTATAATAATTTCCTAGAGAGAGGATAGCACATATTATTAAGTTCAATACTATCACTATTATTACTGAATACTTAAATGATTTTTCTATGAAATTCAATTTTTTTTTATTCTGTGCATTTTATTCATGGTATAAGTTATTATGTCTTTGAATGCAAAACTTGATTTAAAAAATATAGTGAAGGAAAAAATTTCAGGGGGAAGAGGGGTTAATTGTTAGTCCGCAACTATAAAAAAAATGCTGATAAGTCGGAAAATTAATTTATTTTACATTTACAGGAATATAAATTAAATCATTTGAATTTTATTAGACGGACATACTTCGCCCTGTCGAACTCTGGTGGATAACTGTTGTAGATGAGAAGTTGAGATTCGGTAGGTAGGATATAGAGAGGAATTTAATGATGTAAGCAAAGATAAATTATTACTAATGAAAAACGATTCTGAGCGGAGTTCAGTTAATAGTATTGCTTTTTCATCAATATGCCATATATGTATGATATTCAAGAAAAATAAATACATATTGAAACAATTTGTATGGATCAGTAACTATAGATTTGTGTCACATAATTTTTTACTTTAACGATTTTCGCCAAAATTTGATATTAAAATTCCTTTAAGAAAAAAAAATACTACATTAAGCTCAATTTTTTTTTACCACAAAGTATGACTTTTAATGAACCTCCTGTTAAATGTCTAATAATTTCTTTTTATTCTAAGTTTTACCACAGAGAAAAAATTACGTTCAAAACGCGCAAAATTAAAATATCTATAAATAACTCAAAAATGACTAAAATTGTTTTGAAAATTTTATTACGTCAAGAAAAGGCAAATACAAGTTTTGTGTTCAAATTTCAAGTCTCTACGAATATTTTAAACTGAATTACAATAAATAACGAAATTGAAACTAATAATAGCATCTTATTTTTTCTTACGCTTCATTCCAGTTTTTCCCAGATATTATGAAAATCGCTCAGAAAAATTATAAAAATGACCTCCTTTGAGTATTATCTAGACAATATTTCCTTTCAGAAAAAGTGCCACACATATAATATATCGGAGCAGGATTTCTGATAGAAATGTTTGTCTAATAATATTATAAAAATCAAAAAAAAAAAATAAACATCTTTGTAAAATACTAAAACCATATTATTCGTCACTACACTCATAATCTAAAAAAAGGTTATCAGCTAAAAATTATTATGTGTACATCTCCTTTTTAATATAAATACCGGCCCTGCATATAAACTACTTTTATTTCCTCGTATTCAAGCTCTAAAGGAGGGAGATGACATTGGGTTATTGGTATTATAACGAAATTTGATACGACACTGTTTTTTTCCTAAGAAGATTTTCTGTTGAAATCCTAATACTCACGTGTATTGTGTAAGCTGATAATCCGTGATAAAACTCGTGCTCTCAATAAAACTAATAATGCATCACATCTGGCTACAATAAATAAACGATAACAGAAATATTTATATAATACGACTGTTTCTGTTGAAATTATTTATTGTTGCGTCGATATATTATATAGACAACTAAATGAATCTCCAGTATAATAAGAATGACAATGTGTTCGTTACGGTTAAAATCGTTTATTATCGTATCGATATGGATATTAGGTACCCATATTTTAGGTTGTATATGAGAAGGGGTCGGTTGTTTACCCTCTGAATTTTTTTCAAAAGTATTGTTTATTATTTTTGAGGATAAATATCAATATACCTACCTAATTATGTTTGTACCAAAAACAATGGATGATTTAACTGAAGCCGATACTCTCCGGAGTATATTTTGGTCCCGCTACCCATAACATACAACATGCACGATTCAACAAACATTATAACAGTAATTATATTATATATATATATATATATATATGGTTGTAACCTTTGAAAGATGGGCGGATAAGCAAAAAAAGCCCATAAATTTAATGTACAAGTCAATAAATCGTATTTAATCCTATCCTTTGGCGTATGAAAATCATTGTTATCGTTGCTTATTAATAATTATATAAATATTACTAATTTTACGACGATCCGGAGGATAATTCACTGAACCCGTAGCCCGTAGATTTATATGTAAAACCGGAGTGGTGGCAATCCTAGATATATAATAAAAAGATATACATTGAATAAAAAAAAAAAAAAAATCGAAAATAATGAAACCGTTATTGTTCGTGTATGTAAATTTGTCTGTTTTTCCTATACGTTTTCCCTAATTATTCGGAAAACTGCAAGAAAAATTAAAAAATTTCTTTCGGATTGCACTAATTAGACTAAATTTGCATTCAGAAAAGATGCTACACTTGAAAAACGAAGCATGATTTATAGTATCAAGAATATTTGTTAACGAATTACAACAAAAACAAAGAACATAGTAAAATCTATACGTTTCATTGCACCCAGAATATTTAAAACATACAAAAGCGGGCGGGACCCGTTTACCCAAATTCGACCTTTACAGTTTACTCAAATACCCGTTTTGCCCAAACACGTTTTAGTGGTTTTAAAATTAATTTGCCAATCATTTTTTAATTGTAGTTGAAACACATAGAAAATTGTTTAATAAGTCATAATAAAATACAAAACATTATTTGTTACAAAATAATTATTTACATTTCTACTTACACTTTTTACAAACTCATACCTAGTTATTTCACCAGATCTATATCAGATTTATTTCGTAAATGAAAGTAATAAAGTATACTTTTTCATTGTTTTGGAGAAATTTTAACCTTATAAATTTTTATAAAATTATAATATGATAATTTATGATATCTATTTTTAAATTATTTTCTATATGTTTTAACTATGGTTCAAAAATGATTGGCAACACAATTTTAAAACAACTAAAATGTATTTAGGCGAAACGGGTCGCACCCGTAAAAGCAGTAAGCTACTCGCCATACTCGGAATCTAAATAATAACAGGTAACAATAATAATATAATACCTACCTACTAATATATTATAATACGAATGAACAGATAGGTAGGTACGATATGACTGACGAAAATATCATAATGCCCTGTTACTGGCGGATAAAAAATACTGTTGTCGTCGCCACGCCGTTTTTTACGGCTTTGATCAAGTACGAAATCCGCTCGCTGGATTAGGCCTGTTAAGTAGTTACGTCAAATTAAATCCGTCGGGTCTGTCACTACCGTCATATAGAACCATTGCTCTTATTATTTATCGACCTAATAGATAATAATTACGATTTTATACTGACATTCTCAAATAATTCTTCAAGTCGATTCACTTCTTGAAGTAGAATCATGTGTCTCCAAAAAAAAATATTTATTTTAGAAATTCAATGTCTCATTTTGTTTATATTTATAATATTTCTTTTGTTCGGTATATTATTTATTTATACATAATAACATAATATTGTGTACACAATGCGTAAGTACTTATTAGTTATTTTACTGGTGATTTAATCACGCTGGTCTAAAATGTATTGTTGTTATTATTATTATTGTTATTATTATGCCGACAAGGGGCGGCCAACCTTTGACAGCGACGTTGGCCACGCCGCGGGGGAGGAGCCTGCGATGACGACGTCGCCGAAACCGCGAGCTGTGTACCAGGATCCCATGGCATGGGTCGGTGGCGGCGGACGGCGGCGATGCAGCTGCCGCCCGTAAACTATGAAGAAAATCGAAAAATATCAATCTTTAACTCACCAACCAGTTAAAATTTGTTTTCAGAGATGCTACATTTGAAAATTTGAGCGAGTTTTCTGGTATAGACAATTTTTACAAAAAACTATATTGTAATACAATATATACACACAAAGAATAAGCACAATATGGTAAAACCAATAGAAAACAGTAAGTGTTTAAATTTGTAATCATTATTTGTGTATATGATTTGTTATAAGAATGAAATATGCATAATATTAGAACAGTATTATTTTCGACTATATATTTTATGAATAAATAATACTACTAATTATTATAGTTCTATATTTATATGATTTTTTTAATTGGTATTTAATACAAATAGTAATTTTCCTGATTAAGACCCATAATACTGATAAGCAAACAACACAATAATAACACATAAAGCAAAAATGTACAAACATGTCATACATTGAGAGGATGTAGTTTAGATTCTAAGAAAAGCGAGGAATGTATTGGTTTACTGTGGATATGATTAATTTTTTTTTTTATCTGTTAAGTGTACAATTTTTTCTGAACATATAGTAGCATTATATAAATCTTTTAAATTAGTCCAAAAAATCACGGTTTTTCAAAACATTTTGAACCGAACTTCGTTCAAAATTATTTTTCGAAAACAAAGATTTACCGTCGAGCGTCGTACAGATATAATTTTATAAATTAAACCAAACAATTTATGTATTTTGATTTTGGGAATTTGTTTAGTAAATTGAAGAATATTTCTTCAAAAAAATGTCTTAATAATTTTTGAAATAAAAAATTTAAAATAATATTACCTATGTAAAATACTGTCGAACTGTGTTAGTCTCGTCATAATACAACCAATATTATATTATTTTAAATCTAATTTTGTTTCACAAAACAAGAAAAATGCATATACATACAAATATATATATTGAAAAAATAATAACTCATAAATAGAATCATTTGATATAGATAGATCGCATTGGTTAATAGTGAGGGTAATAAAAGGGATTCTCTATTGTCTTGAAAATAATTTTTTTAAAAATCGTAGCAAAAAAAAGACGGACATATTTCACACGATGAGTGCATCCACTGTTATTGGTGAGAAGATGGAAAGGTACAATTTAGAGGGGAAATTAATTTGTATCTGTAAGCAACGATAAACCATCTTACTAAAAACGATTCTGAACGGAGTTCAGTTGATAGTGATGCTTTGTCAACAATATAATGTGTCATAATATGGTAAAATAATTAGATAGGAAATAGGCATTATTTATTTTCTTTAATAACTATAGTTTTCATTACGGTCTATAATAGTTTTCTTTGTCAATGTGTTCACATTTCGGAATTTGTGTATCAAGCGGATTAAACTTTTATTGGACATTCGTATATTATATCTAAGAACGTAATTATACAAACTTTTTTCGACATTTTTGTAATAAATTTAAGATAAGTAGGAAAGGCTACATAGGCCTAAGGTAGAATCCATAAAGTTATTTAGTTTATATCTGTGCACAGTGCCGGTCCCTATAGATTTCAGGGCCCGGTAAAGAATTTTGCGAGGCCCCTATACATTTAATTATATATTTATTTTATTTACTAATGGATTTACTTTATTTTCATATAATTTTATAAACTTTAAGGTCTTGTTAGAAATTTGAATAACCACATGGCCAAATGGGCAATTTGCAATTCGCAATTTTGCATATCTACTATTGGGGCAATATTATTATGATTATTTATAGATAAAGTAATATTCCGGGGCCTGGTGCGTCCGCATCACTTCCCCCCCCCCTAAGGCCAGCACTGCTAAGTACAATAATAAACTATTGTTAGCGAAAAACTATTCGGTTAAACTATTCGCTAAGACATATTTTAAAATGCAGTAATTTTTACGATTTTCGTCAAAATTTAATCTTAAAACGCTTATGAAAAAAAAATTAAAGCATTAAACTTAAAGTTTTTTCATACCACGAAGTACAATTTTTAAATATTTCTCTTGAGTCATATAATTTTAATAACAGCTTGATACCTACTAAATAAAAATAAATAATTTAAAAACATAAAAATATCAAATACCTATAAATAGCTAAAAAATAGCTAGAATGTTTTGAAAATTGCACCATGTCTACAAAAGGCCAATGTACATATTTTGTGAAAACTACAAGTATGGAAAATAAAACGAATTTCTTAATCACAAACTAGACGAAACTTGATTTCAAAAAATTGGTTATTCTTAAAATTTGGACAAAGATTTCAGGTAGACAAATATAATCATAAAATTTTAAATAATAAAATCGATGCGCTATAATTTGAAAAAAATCGTATTTTTCGTCTATTTTGGTTTTTCCAAATTATTATGAAAACCGCTTTAGAAATCAAAATATGAAATTCACTGTCAGTTGCTATATATTTAAGGGAATCAAACTGATATCTTGTCATTTTTCGATTGGAACAATATTTTACGTACGTTTCTCCAGCCCCTCCTCTCCTATCGACTTTTTGATGTTTTCGCTAATCATTTAGTATTTATTTTGTACGAATCTGTACGATAAACCCCACAATTTATACTGCTACAGTTCAGAAGAATTTGTGAAAAACCTGTAAGAGGGGCTGGAGAAATGTTTCACCTGTTTTTACGAAATATTTTTTTAATGCTCACGTTCAATATATTTTTTTAAATATATGAAGTGCGATAGTAAAGTAACGAGATTTTCTAAATATAAGCTAAATTATTGACGTTATCTATAAAACAATTACTGAAATATGATTACGAAACATTTTTGTATAAATATTATCAGTATTTATGAAAACGTTTTATTTTTAAAATATATCTCTTATTATTGTTTTTCTATTGGACCAATAGTTTTAGTTGAAAACATAAGCTTTACAAATTTTAAATAATGAAATCGTTGCACCGTTATTTGAAAAAAAATTGTATTTGGTGTATCAACTAGCTATATCTAATTATAATATAATTTACCGTATATGTAATAAAAAATTGCATTTCTCATAAATTTCGACTTATCGAGGTTCCACAGTATTTATATTTTAATATCTATTTATTTATAAACCAAATACATTAAAAAAAAAAAAAAAAAATGTCACCCCCTTTCAATGATAAAACCAATTGATTGTTATTATTGTTCTGCTCTAAGTTAAATGAAAATATTAAAAGTTTTGAAATTGCGCATTTAATAGAAAGTATAACAAAAATAAACATTAATAATAATCGTTATAGGTATACACAAATATAATATCCATCAATAATGTCGCCGAACAGCTGATGTTATGTTTGATGAATGGAGACGGAACAGATAAAATTCTGCTGTTGGTCATGTTTTCGTTTATTTTTATGATCAAAGATTTCCGAGTCGGGTGTTTATTGAGTATTGATCAATAGCGTATTATTCATACGAAATCATAACATTCACAAGTCAACAAAAATATAATATTAGATACACATTAATAATAATCGATAATTATTTATTCATAATTCAGTTAAAATAATTCATAATAGTTTATGATGGCTTATTGCGACGACAGTAACAAATTGTATAATATAGACGCGATATAGATGGTTCTTTTATAACACCACGCGTATGTTTATTTCCTTCTCAACCATCCAACAATCTATTTTTCCTCCCGTAATTTATTTTATTGATGGTATTGCGTTATCTTAATCCCGTAATATAATATTTAAACTATTGTTTAGTTTATACTCGCATTACTCACAATTTACTAAAGAAATAATGTCCGATCTTCAATAAAATATTATTATTAACGATAATAATGTAATATAATAATCGTAAATATTACATTATATTATTTGTATTAAATTGTACAATTTTAGATTTACCCCAGTAAAATAATCGACAGTATTTTATATTATTCTTAACACATCTTTTCGAGCAAGACTAATATAATATGTATGCAGGTATATGTTTTTTTTTTTTTTTAATTTTTATCACTGGACATCTATCAATAATATTATTGTCAAGACGATTGCATTAAGAAGAAAAAAAAAACCTGCGTTTTTAAAAATATTAAGCACCAGCTATACATAATAGAATGGATACTTTAGTACTCATATAATATGAAAAAGTTATTAAGTAATATCCGTGAAAAAATGTATGGGTATAAACTATTTTTATTGTAATATTGATAATTAATTAATACTATATTACAAAAATGGTGTGCGAATATATGTTTGAAGGTTTATTAACAATATAGAGGTAGTAATACTTATGATATTAATGTCGCGTACATTAATCGACAATAATTAAAATGTAATCGAATTATTTTATACTTAAATAAATACAACTTATTATAGGGCTGTGCGCATGTAATATTATCACTTACAACAGCTTCCTCTTCGATCTTCAGATCTATCCAGTAGCCGACATTTTTCAGTCTCCTTCGACAGCAGCGTTTTGGTCTGTATGAGTTCTTCAGCTAAATCACATTCACATCAACATTAACAACGGTATTAAAATGCAAATAATAGTTGGTTATCAAATACAGAGACGCCAAACCTATATGTTTGGTGTAGCGGCTGCAACACCCATTGGTGTGCCCAGGGGGGGAGGATAAGTGCTATATCTTCACATTGGCTTAAAAATACAACAAAATATGAGTAATCTAATATCAAAACTAATAAATTTCGGCCGATATTTCCGAGAAAAAGCTTAATGTATTGATTAGAAATTGGTTGTTTTTTTGGTCGTTTTAAATTTGTAAAGGATGTGAAAATTAATTGTCGCATCGTATAGTTTATATTTAAAATTACAATGTAAATATATTTATTGCACCAAAAAATTATTGATAAAATATTAAAAATAAAAAGTGCATTCATTTTATATTGTTATTTTTTTATATATATTATGATAACCAAAAATAATATTAAATGTCAAAAATAGAGGGGTGTGCACTGATAACCCTTTACATATTTTTCTAGAAATTACTAACAACCCCCTCCCCCTCACTAGAAATTCCTGATAAGGCCACTGTGCCCATGTAATAATAGTATAACCTAACCTAACGCCATGGCGCACTGTAAATATTTGCCGTTTTACCTATAACTTTCTTTTAGATTTTTTTCAATTATTTTGAAAACACCAAAGAAAAACAAAAATTGACGTCTTTAATGCACTAACTAGACAAAATTACCTTTCATAAAAAGTGTTACACTCTATATATGGGGGCAAAATGTCTGATAAAAAAGTTGTTTACAGACATAAAAAAAATTGAATATGTGAAAATAATAATTTATAGTTTAAGAAATTGGTAGTTGGTGTGGGGAGCTATGCTTTTTCCCAATTATTATAAAATCTACTAGGAAAATCAAAAATTCACCTCCTCAATGCACAAACTACATCTAAATTGCTACAAAATAGTTCTTTTTCGGTTTCTCGATTGCAGTAAGATTTTTGATAGAAAAAAAAATTAAAAAATCCTTTCTCCCAGGGATAAGTTGATTATATTGCATTATACGTATATATTATATACCAATTCCTCTGAAGACATCCACAACATTAAAATTAATTTTCGCCGACGTTTCCATAAACAGTAGATAATTTTCGTCCGCGAAAGTCTGGACCTCCTCCGTCTGAATGCTTCTATCACTAATTAAATCAATCTTATTTCCGACTAACATCGTTACGATTCCCGGAATCTGATTTTGGAGTTTTAACGTCCATTTTTTAGCATTTTCAAATGTAACCTACGTTTTAAAAAACCAATAACATCAAAATAATGTATATGTATTATAAATATTTAATACAAGCTTATAAATCTTTTGTCAATGGAAAAAATGGCTTAAGTCGATTTTGTATAATTTCCAATACAAGCAAGTCGAATGTTGAAAATTACTAGGTAAATGGCTAGACAAAATTGTTATAAAATAAACACAAATTATGACTTTTTGTCAGCCTAAAAGTACATCGTAGTGACTTAAGATATTTTAATTTTCAGTATAACACGTGTAAGAATACACATACACTTATACTTATGTCATTAAAACCAAAAATAAACAGGAAAAATTATATAAATCGAAATTATATATATATATATAAAAAAAAAAAAAAAAAATGCTGACATATTAAGCCCTTCTTCCCTGGTACTAAAGAAATAATTACAATGGTTAATGGACAAATCACAAGTATTAGATAGATTTTACCCACTCTGTTTGTTACATCGTACACTACAATAGCAGCTTGAGCATGCCTATAATACATTGGTACTAAACCATGAAATCGTTCTTGGCCTGCCGTATCCCAAATTTCTAATTTGACAGGTGTATTGTTTATTTGTATTGTAAAGGTGCAATATGCAGCTGATGAAAAGAAATATTAACGTGTGAGAACTATATGTAATAGTTATATATAAATGATAAATATTTAAAAACCATACCACCGATGGTACTTGGTATTTTGTTAAATTGGTCTTTTACCAATCTATTTACCAGACTAGATTTTCCAACTGAATATTCGCCCAAAAGAACTATCTTGAACGAAAGCATTTTCCTCGAAATTTGCGTGCCAGTTACAGGACGTATTTCATTTCTTTTAGACATTATACGCGTTTAGTATCTGGAAATGTGAAAAAAATGTTATATGATCACATAATAATGTATACAGGGCAATTTTTTTCATTACGATACGGCTTTTATCTACGACGATTTTGAGTAACATAGATTTTGGTTTTTTTCAGTAATTTTTTCACTTTATAGAATTTCAACGGGCCGGTAGCGAATAATGATAATTTGCGCGCGTTTTCGACATCGGTCGGCCACACTGTGTGTGGTTGAAGCTCAGTTAGAATGGTTGGGGTCGCCGCGTAAATCTGAAGAGCCATCTGACGGCGGTGGATGTGTATGTGTGTATGTGTGCGGGTGTGTACTTAATACTATGGGCGGAAAATATAAATAAATGGCAAACCTGGGTTTAATCATGAACTTGTATTGTTCACACAAATATGTATTTATTTTTGTAAATAAATAATAATACAAATTGTGGAAATTAGCACGTACGGATAGGTAGAATATATAAAAATAAGATATAAATAGCCCCAATTATTTTTACATTTCGTAAAAATAATTTGATATTAAAATTTGTGTAAAAAAAAAAATACTCCATTAAACTCAAAATTTTCAATACACCATATAATAAACTTCCTGTTAAATTTTCAAACATTTCTGTTTGGTCTAACAATTTTATCAAAAGAATACTTACCGAATAAAAGTTACGTGAAAAACTCCCAAAATTATAATGTTTATTATCTCAGTTATAGCTCAAAAATGGTTCAAATATTTTTAAAATTTTATTATTTCGAGAAAAGGTAAATATAAGTTCTTTGTCTAAATTTCAATTCCCTGCGAATATTTTAAATTGAATCGCAATAAAAAAAACAAAATTTAATAATAATAAAAGCATCATTTTCGTAAATTTTCCCGTTCTTTCTACGGTTTTTATCGGTTTTGCTCAATTATTAAAAAATTACACGGAAAATCATAAAATGACTTCCTAACTCACCAACTAAATTAAGATTTCAATAAAAAAGGTCTCTTGTAATTTTTCTTATAGGAACAATATTTATGATGGAAAACATAAGTCGTAAAAATTGTAAATATTGAAATCGTTGCGCAGTAATTTGAAACATCGTATTTTTCGTCTTTTTTGGTTTTTCTAAATTATTATCAAAAATATTAAAGATATCAAAAAACGACTTTCTTTTTTAATGGCCATGTATTAAAAGGAACAAAATAGATATTTTGTAATTTTTCGATTGGAGCAATAATTCGAGTTTATCGTGATTATCATATTTTGAGTAGGCTTATTTTTGCTAACTATAGCTCACTGTAATGACAATCACGCGGAGCAACAATGTTAGCGGCTAGCCAGTAGCCTATATTATATTGTTTATTTACAGGTAATTTTTTAGTACTACATAATATAATATAACGCAGTATCAGTTAAAAGAATATAATATGCATTATTTTTATTTATAAACAATGCCGCCCCTAAAATACCAAAAAAATTTCGTCACACTGGTCACACGTGCCTTCTGCCGGCCCTGTAAATAATAATATATGGTCCTTTTGGCTCAACAGATAAAAATAATAGTGAAGAAAAAACTCAGTTATTACGGAATGCTGACTGACCAGCCATTTACCTAAACCTAAATAAATAAAAAATACTCAACATATGAAGATAAAACAAACAAATAAATAGGTAGGTTAGGTTAGGTAACTGGGTCTGGTAACAAAAAAAGATGGTAATGATGGTATGAAACGCAGCGATTTGCGTCTGCGATTTAATTAAAAGTACGTAATTTTCTTTATAATTATTAAATAGAAAAAAAAATTTCTATTATAAAAATAAAATACTTATTAATAAATAATAAGTTTGATTATTTAGTTTAATTTTTGTTCCGTAAAGATGTAAGATAATAGGTGTATAACTTTGTTTTTAATTATTAAAAAAAAGAAAAAGTGTTGCTCATAGTAAAAATGGTGAAGCATATTTTTGTCCCGTTTTCACTAAAAAAATATATATAGTCACCTTAGGTATTGCACAACATTAATAACAACAATTTTAAAACTAACAATAATTCACAAAAACTTAATCTAATAGTGCGTGTACATGTTATGTGGCCATCAGGGGCGTATATAGGATTTTCTTGAGAAGGGGGATATAAAATTTTTTTTTGTGTTGATGCAACCTTTTGTTAGTTACTCCATGTAAGGCTAGGTAACAATAAAAACAATAATATTGATTATAATTTTACTCTGTTTTATTAATTTATAAAATAAATTCTAGTTTTNCTTTTTCAATTTTATAACTTATTTATTAACCAAAAAAAGAATTACATAAAAATAACAAGTGTGCAATGGCAATGCGGATAAATCGTTGCAACGAGTGCGGGAAAGTGGAATGAGGTGCGAGTGTGTAATATGCGATGCACAACGACCGGAATGATTAGAAAATAATATTTATTTTACGTATAATATTTATTTTAAAATTTACGAATTCCTTATCGTCTTCTGTCCGCTGTCGCAATTAGTTTCGCGTTTTACGTATATAACAGTATAATAGCAGTGAGCTATCTTTATTATTTATTAGGTACTAGCGGGTTTTACACGGCTTCTCCCGAATATGGTCCTATTTTAATTTTGTTGTTATTATTGGGTAATATTCGCAGCCCACAGGATAACAAAATTATAAATAGCATCAGTACTGCAGCCATGTAGCCATGTTTATACCTAAATTAAAAGAAAGTGCAAGGGAGGGGATCTATCCCCTATATCCCCCCCCCCATAAATACGTCAATGGTGGACATTAATTAACATCTCAATATCTGGACAATTCAGACCGCGCTTGTCAAAATAATGGTTTAATGATTTTGATGAGGTATAATAATATTTTTCAAAATTTTACACTTATCCCATATTATTTTAAATAGTAAAAAGAAGTACCTAATAGGGATATAGATTATCATTTAAAAATTTATAATACAAAATGTACTACTACTTCGTTTTACATTTTTAATTTTTATAATTATAACGTATAACTCATAAACGGTATATCCGGCAGTAGAATTACGCATATCAAAATATTTAAAGAATTATTATTTTTCCAATCTTTGATGAAATAGGAGTGAGGGTAATAATTCTCCGAGAAAATCGCTTTATAATTAATAATAATAATAATAATATAAATTACTTTACAGATAAATAAATTTGTATAGAATTTGTGTACTTAATTTTACTCGGATTTGTTTAGCCATTTCGTTATATAAACAATAATACCCATATTTACTAAATCTATCATGACTAACGACTGTATATAAACTATGACTAAACAATGACTAAATTTATCAAATTATCACTAAGAATCAAATTAAAAATAATAATAATCGACAGATAGAGTCATGCTGATGAGGGAAGGAGTGGGGGAGGGGTTCAAACTACTCACATTACTTTTTTTTTTTGCATCTAGGTCATTGACAGTTAGGTGTTGGTTTATCGAATTTATAACAAGTTTACTTCTGCAAAACTCCAGGAGTATAACGTGTAGTCAAAAAATTATTATTCGTGTTTTTGATTTTTGATTTTACTAATAATTGATGTAGGTATATATTTTATATATTATCTTTTTTCGTAACCCTTCCCTTCCATCTACGAAGAAATCCTGTCGACAGACATTTATAATGTGTAAAACAGTACCTATGAATGGATTGATTTCAAACATGGTTGCATATTTGAATCGTATCAAATTATATTATTATAGCCTATAAGTAGATAGCTAGATATAGTTACGATAAAACACGAGAAGGTACACGTTAAAAACGTTCTAAATCAGTTACAAAATACATTTGCATACATTGCGTTTAGAATTTTAAACATATTTAGTCCTTACAATTGAATGTGGATACGTACCTATGTATATTATATCCAATTACGCAGACAAATTAGGTATCGTTGAATATTATTGCTGATGACGAATCAAACGATATACTTATTTAAATTTTAAAATATGAAAAAGAAATATAAACTAACTATGTTAAAATATTTAATATAATTATATTGATATTAAAAAAATATTAACTCGATTTTAACACAACATTATCATATGCAATATAAATATAAAAGACAAACCATCGACAGTATTAAATAAAAACACACTGACGCAATACAAAGTGAATACAAGTGAAAGACTGGCGATGATGGACGCGACCGGACGACAACTATAATATAATAATATAATAATAGCCGTTTGTTCGAAGACAATAGTGTTGGGTTTTATACGAATTTTCAATGTTTGTAATAACTATCGATACGTTTTCAAATATCTACCATTATAAGATTCATCATTTCGAATAATTAATTGAAATATTATAACAGCATATTTGAATTGTAATAGAAATAAATAGTACCTACGGGGAAATTATCAATAATTTTGTCATACGCTAATGACGTTCAATAAAATACTATTTATCTGTTAATAAATATAATAGTTATTGGTACCCATAACGATAGTATCTATCTATTACTGTACATGTTTTTCCATCGCATTATTTTTAATTTGTGTGTAGAGGTTCCAAAACAAAATGTTTAACTAGATTGGACGACGAATGACTGAACTCTAGAAAAAATGTCATTAACGGAGGGGGGGGGGAAGATTCTTAAACAAATACCATATTTAAATCGCTATGAAATAAGTATAAAATATAAGTAGATACTAGTTTTTCCATATTATACAGAAAATGGTATACTTAATCATTGATGAAAAGAAAGTTAACACCCTCCCTCACCTCTGATTCAACGTGATGGTGTATTAAAACAATTCATGGTGCACAAAACGTACGAAGTGTACGAAAATTTGACCAATTTTTTTTGTTTCTTACAAAAGCGAAATTTTTAACGATATAAACATAAACCACATTGCCATATTGATATAAAATAACATATATTAACATCTTAAGACTATAATTACGGATAAAATTGATTTATGTAGAAACAAACCGGTGGTTTTTTTGTAAATGTAATTTTTATGTTTAGGCAGTACAATGTTT